GACGACTACTCGCGTTACACCACGGTCTTCCCCTTGCGCAGCAAGGGGGAGGTCCCTGATGTTTTGATCCCTTGGATCCACGCTGTCCGTCTCCAGCTCCGCGAGCGGTTCCACACGGACCTTCCAGTCCTGCGTCTGCACTATGACAGAGGTGGTGAGTTTTCCTCCGACCTCTTGCGGGACTTTTGTCGTGGGGAGGGCATTCTCCAGTCGTTCACGCTTCCGGCCTCTCCGCAGCAAAATGGGGTTGCTGAGCGCCGCATTGGCTTAGTCATGGAGGTCGCTCGTACCTCCATGATCCATGCGGCTGCCCCCCATTTTCTGTGGCCGTTTGCGGTCCGGTACGCTGCGCATCAGCTCAACCTCTGGCCCCGTGTCTCCTTGCCGGAGACCTCGCCTACACTGCGTTGGACGGGGAAGGTTGGCGATGCGTCGGTGTTCCGGGTCTGGGGTTCTCGTGCCTTTGTTCGCGAAACGTCCGCGGACAAGCTCTCCGCCCGCACCATTCCCTGCGTCTTCCTTGGTTTTCCCCCTGACGCGCCTGGCTGGCAGTTTTACCACCCCACCTCGCGCCGTGTCCTGCCCTCTCAGGACGTCACGTTCGACGAGTCGGTTCCCTTTTACCGTCTCTTCCCCTACCGCACTGCACCTCTCCCCCCCCCCGTCGCTCTTCCTCGCACCAGGTCCTCCTCCGGTAGACCCCCTCCCCCCTCAGGGTCCTGCTCCCTCAGGTGTGTCTCAGGTAGACCCTGTCGAGCCTGTCGAGGTCGCGGTCGACTCTGGTGCTGCTGCTGGGAGTGGTGCTGCTGGGGGTGCTGAGCCGGAGCGTGCGGAGCGTGGGGGTGCTGAGCCTGAGCGTGCGGAGCCTGGGGGTGCTGAGCCTGAGCGTGCGGAGCCTAGGGGTGCTGAGCCTGAGGTTGCTGAGTCTGGGGGTGCTGAGTCTGGGGGTGCTGAGACTGGGGGTGCTGAGCCTGCGGGTGCGGAAACTGGGGGTGCTGAGCCTGGGGGTGCTGAGTCTGCTGGAGGTCCTACAGGTGCCTCATCCCGGCGGGAGTCTCTCTCTCCACCACAGCTGCGCGAGTGGTTTGCTCGGCGCTGGAGTCGGGGGGCCTCCCGCTGGAGGCCCTGGAGCTGGAGGTACTGGAGCTACTGGAGCTGGAGGTGCTGCCGGCGTTGGAGCTGGAGCTGCTGGAGTTACTGGAGCCACTGGTCCCGGAGGTGCTCGTACTGGAGGTACTGGAGCTTCTGGTGCTGGTGGTGCTGCGGGAGTTGGAGCCGGAGGTGCTGGAGCTGCTGGTCCTGGAGTTACTGGAGGTACTGGAGGTTCTCCGGGTGCCTCGTCACACCGGGAGCCTCTCTCCCCACCGCAGCTGCGCGAGTGGTTTGCGCGGCGCTGGAGTCTTCAGAGTGGCGCTGCTGGAGCTGGGGGGGCTGCCACTGGAGGCCCTGGTCCTGGTGGCGCTGGAGGTACTGGAGCTGCTGGAGCTGGAGGTGCTGCCGGCGTTGGAGCTGGCGCTGCTGGAGGTGCTGGAGCCACTGGTCCCGGAGGTGCTTGTACTAGACGTACTGGAGCTGCTGGAGCTGGAGGTACTACAGGAGTTGGAGCTGGAGGCGCTGGAGTTGGCGCTGCTGGTGGTGCTGGAGCCACTGGTCCCGGAGGTGCTCGTACTGGAGGTACTGGAGCTACTGGAGCTGGAGGTGCTGCAGGAGTTGGAGCTGGAGGCGTTGGAGCTGGAGCCGCTGCTGGCGCTGGAGCTGCTGGAGCTGGAGGTGCTGGAGCTGGTGGTACTGCAGGCGTTGGAGCTGGAGACCCTGGAGCTGGGGGTACTGGTGCTGTCGGTGCTGGTTCTGGAGGCACTGTGCGGCCGCGACCGTACTTCGTTCCACTGCTTCAGCAGGTTCTTGGTCTCCCGCTTTCTACTGGCCTTCCTCCTCCCTTACTGTGTCCACCGCCTGACCAGTCGCAGTCGCAGTTACAGCCAGCCTCTCCACTGCCTGCTCCTTCTCCTTACACTGGGCCGACACGAGGTCTTGCGGAGCGTCGTGAGCCAGAGTCTCGTCCTGCGTCGCCCGTTCGCGCTGTACGCACTGGTCGTCGTGTTCCGCGTCCGCGTCCTCCTCCTGTCCCCGGCACGCACCAGATGGCACTCCGTCCTTCCTCTGTTCCACAGCGTGTCCCTCTGCCGTCTCCTCCTGCGTCCTCTCTTCCTGACGTTGCTGACCCGCCGTCAGACCTTGCTCGTGCTGCCAGTCCTACTGTCACACGTCTTCTAGCCACTGTTGTCACTGACCCTTCGTTTGAGCCCTCTGCTGCGTCTGCCCTAGTTGCTGAGCTTGTTGACTTTGTTGCCGCCTGTCGCCTCGACTACGCCGCTAGCCTTGTTGCTGAGTCTGAGTCTGTCTGTCCTCCGTCCGTCGGGGGTGAGTGTGCTCTTGGCACGTACGTCCTTGAGGACAGGCAGGAGGACTTTGAGTGTTTTGCAGCTGCTTTACCTCATCTCGTGTCCATGCTGATTGCACCTGAGGGAGACCCGGATGCACCAGACATCCCGACCCCGCGCTCTTACGCAGAGGCGATTGAGGGTCCCTACTCCTCTCTGTGGCAGACAGCCATGGACGCAGAGATGGCTTCCTGGAAGTCCACAGGCACCTACGTCGACGAGGTTCCCCCACCTGGGGCGAACATCGTCAGTGGCATGTTGATTTTCAGGGTGAAGCGGCCGCCGGGTTCTCCACCTGTCTTCAAGGCGCGTTACGTTGCACGAGGCTTCAGTCAGCGACAGGGAGTTGACTTCTTCCAGACCTTCTCCCCTACCCCGAAGATGACCACTCTTCGGGTGCTGCTGCACGTCGCCGCTCAGCGTGACTACGAGCTTCACTCTCTTGATTTCAGCAGAGCCTTCCTACAGGGCAGCCTCCACGAGGAGATCTGGCTGCGCCGCCCACCTGGCTTCACTGGGTCGTTTCCTGCAGATACCCAGTGGAGCCTCCGGCGGCCAGTCTACGGTCTCCGCCAGGCGCCTCGCGAGTGGCACGACACACTGAGGACGACGCTTGCGGCTCTTGGGTTTGCTCCTTCGACTGCTGACCCGTCGCCGTTTCTACGCACCGACACTTCTCTGCCGCCGTTCTACATCCTCGTGTACGTCAACGACTTGGTCTTTGCCACTGCTAACACTGCTGGACTGGCCTTTGTGAAGTCGGAGCTGCAGAAGAGACACACGTGCACAGACCTGGGTGAGCTGCGCAGCTATCTTGGCTTGCAGATCACCCGGGACAGAGCACAGCGCACCATTACCTTGACTCAGTCACACATCGTGCAGCAGGTCCTTCAGCGCTTCCGCTTCACGTACTCCTCGCCACAGTCCACTCCTCTGCCTACCGGTCACTCGCTCTCAGCTCTGCCTTCGGATGAGTCTGTAGAGCCGAGTGGCCCGTATCCAGAGCTTGTGGGCTGCCTCATGTACCTCATCCGGAAATATCCCGCTAAACTGCTTCAGTAGTGCTGCCAAGTCATCCGGTACGTCGGCGAGCAGTTTCTGTAAATCACTCGGCTTGTCTGCTGCCTCGGCTTCCCGAATGTCAAACGCATACACGTCAGCTCCTGCCGCTACGGCGCGTTTCATCGTGATCGCGTTGACACGCACCGACGCACGCACCGGCGAGCTCCAGCGAGGTAAGGCGATGTTGTTACCGTTCACTTGCACGGTGCAATCACCCGTCGTCCAGTCGATTCACGGATTGTGTCGTCGCAGCCAATCACGGCCGAGTAAAATATCGGTCCCGTCGAGGGTCGTTGCGAGCATTTCCTGGGCAAAGGTAAATTTACCCCCGCATTGGATCGGAAGTCGGTCCACACGTTCCCGTATCGCCAGTGGCGTGCCGTCGACCAGTCGTGCGTCAATCTCAGGTAAACGTATGTCCAGTGGGAGTTTCAGTCTCCGTGCTGTTGTGGTGTTGATCAGGCTGTGGCTAGCCCCCCCGTCTACGAAGATTTTAACTAAGTCTGACTGTATTTTCCCGCTAAGCAGTATGGGGTTGTTTACCGTTGCACCCTCCTTATTCGGCCGGGTGTGGTCGATTGCGTGAACCGGCACAATCACTCGGTGAGGGTCGGTTGGGTCGGGCGAGCGGCGTGACCTGTCAGTAGAGGGCCCGTCTGCTACTGACTCCCAACGTTTCCCTGCTGCTTAGTCTGTTTTTGCTGCTCAGCTTTCCCCCTTTCCCTTAGCGTTTTCCAGGCATTCGCTCTTACGGTGTCCCGGCCGGTTGCACGCGAAGCAAAATTTACTGTAGCGTGGTTACGTGCTGGGAAATAGGGTAACCAATATGCACCAATTGCAAGTGGCGATCGATCGTCTACGTTTACCGCGTCCTTATTGCCTCCAAATACCTATTCCGTGGTCCCTTTCGCTCCTAGCTACGTTTGGCTTTTTGTCGACAATTCCTTCTCACGCGGCGTCACACGGCGTCAGAAAGGCTATTCGTAGCAACGCGTCACGGACCCCAATATCATTCGCTGCATACCTTCACGAGGCTCCTAACGGCTGCGCAGCGAGCACTGTATCCTGGCTACGGTCTTTTCTCGCTGTGTTCGTGCATAACTAGTGCAGCGCTTCGCAGTTTGTTTCTAAGAGATTGGAGCGCGTAGTTAAAAGTAAACGTTACTAGTCAGTTAGGTTTCGCTACCTTACGCCATGGCAGGTCCTTCGGGTAAACGTAAGCACGAGGGCGAAGAGAAGGTAGCTTCTGATACCGGTGACAACCAGGAACCACCCCAACCGGCAACAGAATCGAATCCAGAATCGAATCCGAATCCCGGACTAGATTCGGACGGAAAGCCCGCAGGTTCGAACCCTAAAGCATCTGCAGCCGAGTCGCAACCAGCAAAGCAGACAGAAAAAACGTGTGTTCATGACGTCGCGCTTCCTCCGGATTTCACGGCCTCTCTCGACCAATCAGTGCACGGGACGATCGATTCGCCGGTGTACAAGGGTCCGATGGCGAAAACGTACCCGTTTGAGTTGGACCCGTTTCAAGCAACCTCAATAGCGTGCTTGGAGCGGCGGGAGTCCGTGCTCGTGGCAGCGCACACGTCGGCGGGAAAGACGGCCGTTGCGGAGTATGCAATCGCGATGGCATTTCGCGACAAGCAGAGGGTCATTTACACGTCTCCGCTTAAGGTAGGTTTGTTCTAAGGTTGGTTGCTTTTAAGGTTAAATCCCCTGAGGCAGGCTGCTTTCTAGAAGAGGGGACTTGTGATTCTGTTGCAGCTTTGAAACCGGGGTTCATTTCTGTTAAGTTCCAGGTTTGAGGGTTGAGGGTTTCGGGTTGAGGGTTGAGGGCGTTGAGGGTTGAGAGTTGAGGGCCTTACGGTGGTAGAAAGCACCGACCTTCTCTTTCCCCGTCCAGTTCCCCTCTTTGTCCCCTCCACCCCTCTTCCAGTTCCTTCTCCACTTTGGTGCCCCCAAGACTTTCTGGGCATCCAGACGTACTGGGAGCTCAATTGAACCCTTCTCCTTTCCTCTCCCCTCCCTCCCCTCCTCTCGCTCCTCTCTCTCCCCCTCCACACACCAGGCTTTGAGCAACCGGAGGTACTGGGAGACGAGTGAAGAGTCCAGTCCAGTGACGCTGGTGACGGGCAAACCCACTATTGCTCCTGTTTTTTGCACCAACCTCGCCCCGCCTATCCCTCCACACACCAGGCTTTGAGCAACCGGAAGTACTGAGAGACGAGTGAAGAGTCCAGTCCAGTGACGCTGGTGACAGGTGACGGGCAAGCCTGTTCTTACACCTCCCTGCACTCCCCCCGTCCCTCACTCCCACCAGGCTTTGAGCAACCGGAAGTACTGGGAGACGAGTGAAGAGTCCAGTCCAGTGACACTGGTGACGGTCCCCTCTTCCCTTGTGCCCCCACCTCCCCTCTCCCCCCATCCCCCCCCCCCCCAACCTGCACACACCAGGCTTTGAGCAACCGGAAGCACTGGGAGACGAGTGAAGAGTCCAGTCCAGTGACGCTGGTGACGGGTGACGTTGCAATCACTACCCTCTTCCCTTACTACCGCACCTCCCATTTCCACACGCCAGGCTCTGAACAACCAGAAGTACCGCGAGCTGAGTGAGGAGTTCAGCGATGTGGGGCTGATGACGGTCCCCTCTTCCCTTACCCCCAACCCCTCTTTACACAATCCCTCCCCCCATTCTACCAGGCTCTGAGCAACCAGAAGTACCGCGAGCTGAGTGAAGAGTTCGGTAACGTGGGGCTGATGACGGGCGAACCCCCTAACACTCCTGTCCAGTGTCGTGTTCCCCTCCCCCCCCCCCCCCCACTCCACCAGGCTCTGAGCAACCAGAAGTACCGGAAGCTGAGTGAGGAGTTCAGCGACGTGGGGCTGATGACGGGTGACCCCACTCCACTGTTGCTCCTGTCCTTACACCCCGCCTCCCCTTCCCCCCCTCCCCAGTCTACCAGGCTCTGAGCAACCAGAAGTACCGGGAGCTGAGCGAAGAGTTCAGCGACGCAGGGCTGATGACGGGTGACCCCCCTAACACTCCTGTCCAGTGTCGTGTTCCCCTCCCCACCCCCTCCTCACACCCGCCAGGCTCTGAGAAACCAGAAGTACCGGGAGCTGAGTGAGGAGTTCAGCGATGTGGGGCTGATGACGGTCCCCTCTTCCCTTACCCCCAACCCCTCTTTACACAATCCCTCCCCCCATTCTACCAGGCTCTGAGCAACCAGAAGTATCGCGAGCTGAGTGAGGAGTTCAGTAACGTGGGGCTGATGACGGGTGACGTCACCGTCACTGCTGTGCTTACACAACCCCTCCCCACCCAACCCCACCACACACGCCAGGCGCTGAGCAACCAGAAGTACCGGGATTCAAGTGAGGAGTTGAGTGACGTGGGGCTGATGACGGGTGACGTAGCAGTCACTCCCCTCTTCCCTCACTCACCCACCTCCTTCCTCACCATCTCCCCCCCACACTTTTCCCCAGGCGCTGAGCAACCAGAAGTATCGGGAGTTGAGTGAGGAGTTGAGCGACGTGGGGCTGATGACAATCTTCTCTTCCCTTACCCTCACAACCGCTCTTTAACCATTCCCTCCCCCCTTCAGGCTCTGAGCAACCAGAAGTATCGGGAGTTCAGTGAGGAGTTAAGTGACGTCGGGCTGATGACGGGTGACGGGCAAGCCATTGCCGCTCCTGTTCTTACACCTCCCTGCACTCCCCCCATCCCTCAATCGCCCAGGCGCTGAGCAACCAGAAGTATCGGGAGCTGAGTGAGGAGTTCAGTGACGTCGGGCTGATGACGGGTGACGTCACCATCTCCCCCAACGCTGCCTGCATCGTCATGACCACCGAAATCCTCCGATCCATGCTCTACCGAGGCTCTGAAGTGCTTCGGGAGGTGGCTTGGGTGATCTTTGACGAGATTCACTACATGAGGGATCGGGAGCGGGGCGTGGTTTGGGAAGAGAGTATTATTTTCCTTCCGCCAGATGTTAAAATGGTGTTTTTGTCGGCTACGCTGTCGAATGCGCGGGAGTTTGTCGAGTGGATTACTTATCTGCATAAGCAGCCTTGTCACGTGGTGTATACGGATTACCGGCCGACTCCCTTGCAGCATTTCGCGTTTCCTTATGGCGGGGATGGGCTGTACCTGATGGTGAACGAGCAGGGGAAGTTTATCGAGAAGAATTTCAATCGCTTAGCTAAGAGTTTTGCAAAAGCAAAGGAGGCGGCGGCGGAGGCGATCCCAGAAGCTGCTGGCTTCGCAGGGAGAGGGAGAGGAAGGGGGGGGAGGGGAGGGAGAGGAGGGAGAGGAGGGAGGGGAGGGGAAGGAGGGAGAGGAGCAGGAGGAGGGCCTTCGGATATCTACAAGATAGTGAAGGTGAGTCGTTCTCATCACCTGAGTCCCCATTCCCCTCCTTTCGGCTCTTCTTATTAGCCTGCTCCTTTTGAGATGGAGGGCCTTCGGATATCTACAAGATAGTGAAGGTGAGTCGTTCTCATTACCTGAGTCCCCATTCCCCTCCTTTCGGCTCTTCTTTATAGCCTCCCTGCTCCTTTTGAGATGGAGGGCCTTCGGATATCTACAAGATGGTGAAGGTGAGTCGTTGTCCTTACCTTTTCCTGAGTCCCATTCCCCATTACCTGAGCCTCCGTTCGTTCCCCTCCTCTCCGATCATCTCCTCATTATCCCCCTCCTGTTCTGCTCGAATCTGAGCCTATCTCTCCCTGCCCTCCCTCCCGTCCCAGAAACCCTAAAACCCCTTCTATGCAGACCTGCTCTAAGCTAGACTTCCATCCAATGATTGTATTCAGCTTCCGCCGGCGCGAGTGTCAGGCGTACGCCATGCGTGTAGCTCCATGCACTCCTGCTCCGACCTGCGGCTCTTTTCCTTAAACATTCAACCCAAAACCCTGCCCCCCCCATGCAGACCTGCTCCGAGCTGGACTTCCATCCAATAGTTGTGTTTAGCTTCCCTCTTTCCTTTCCTCACCCTCTCTCACCTTACCCTCTCACTCTCCCCGCACTTCCATGCAGACCTGCTCCGAGCTGGACTTCCATCCAATGATTGTGTTTAGCTTCCGCCGGCGCGAGTGTGAGGCGTATGCCATGCAGCTGAGCAAGCTGGACTTCAACAGCGAGGAGGAGAGCAAGATGGTGAAAGAGGTGAGGTGCAGTGCGGTGCAATGCACTAAGGATGGTTGCTAGATAGATCTGGTTGACGTGAGTGTGAGGCGTACGCCGTGCAGCTGAGCAAGCTGGACTTCAACAGCAAGGAGGAGAGCAAGATGGTCAAGGAGGTGAGGTGCAGTGCGGTGCAATGCGCTAAGGATGGGTGCTAGATAGATCTGGTTGACGTGACTGTGAGGCGTACGCCATGCAGCTGAGCAAGCTGGACTTCAACAGCGAGGAGGAGAGCAAGATGGTCAAGGAGGTGAGGTGCAGTGCGGTGCAATGCGCTAAGGATGGGTGCTAGATAGATCTGGTTGACGTGACTGTGAGGCGTACGCCATGCAGCTGAGCAAGCTGGACTTCAACAGCGAGGAGGAGAGCAAGATGGTCAAGGAGGTGAGGTGCAGTGCGGTGCAATGCGCTAAGGATGGGTGCTAGATAGATCTGGTTGACGTGACTGTGAGGCGTACGCCATGCAGCTGAGCAAGCTGGACTTCAACAGCGAGGAGGAGAGCAAGATGGTCAAGGAGGTGAGGTGCAGTGCGGTGCAATGCGCTAAGGATGGGTGCTAGATAGATCTGGTTGACGTGACTGTGAGGCGTACGCCATGCAGCTGAGCAAGCTGGACTTCAACAGCGAGGAGGAGAGCAAGATGGTCAAGGAGGTGAGGTGCAGTGCGGTGCAATGCGCTAAGGATGGGTGCTAGATAGATCTGGTTGACGTGACTGTGAGGCGTACGCCATGCAGCTGAGCAAGCTGGACTTCAACAGCGAGGAGGAGAGCAAGATGGTCAAGGAGGTGAGGTGCAGTGCGGTGCAATGCGCTAAGGATGGGTGCTAGATAGATCTGGTTGACGTGAGTGTGAGGCGTACGCCATGCAGCTGAGCAAGCTGGACTTCAACAGCGAGGAGGAGAGCAAGATGGTCAAGGAGGTGAGGAGGAAAGCAGGTTGCTGTGCTGCAGTGGCTGGCATGGCATGTGCAAGGTGCAAGTTAAAATTGGATTTTGATACGGCAACTGGTACGCAGATGTTTTTAGACGCCTCAAGAATTGGATATTGATAGGGTAATGGGTACGCATGGCCACACTGCCTTGCCTTACCCGTATTGATAGGGTAATGGGTTTCATCATGCACCCACCTCCCCTCCCCTCCTCCTCCCCTCGGCCCACTCAGGTGTTCAACAACGCTATCTCTGTTCTCCCCACACAGGACCAGGACCTGCCAGCAGTGCGCCAGATGCTGCCGCTGCTGCAGAGGGGAGTGGGAGTGCACCTCTCACTCAGGGCTGCTGCTGCCTTACTCCCCCTCGCTCTGCTCCCTCCCTCCCTGTCCCCAGGTGTTCAACAATGCTATTTCTGTGCTTCCCACTGCAGAAGGGCGTGGGAGTGCACCACTCGGGGCTACTGCCCATCTTTTCCTCACGCACTCCCCCTGTTGCTCCCAACCCCTCTTGCTCCTCATACAGGTGTTCAACAACGCTATATCCGTGCTCCCCACTGAGGACCAGGATCTCCCAGCAGTGCGGCAGATGCTGCCGTTACTCCAGAGGGGCGTGGGAGTGCACCACTCGGGGCTGCTGCCTTACTCCCCTTCGCTCTGCTCCCTCCCTCCCTGTCCCCAGGTGTTCAACAATGCTATATCTGTGCTCCCCACAGAGGACCAAGATCTCCCAGCAGTGCGCCAAATGCTGCCGTTACTGCAGAGGGGAGTAGGAGTGCACCACTCAGGGCTGCTACCTTTTTCCCCCTCGCTCTGCTCTGCTCCCTCCCTCCCTGTCCCCAGGTGTTCAACAATGCTATCTCTGTGCTCCCCACTGAGGACCAGGATCTCCCAGCAGTGCGGCAGATGCTGCCGTTGCTGCAGAGGGGAGTAGGAGTGCACCACTCAGGGCTGCTACCTTTTTCCCCCTCGCTCTGCTCTGCTCCCTCCCTCCCTGTCCCCAGGTGTTCAACAATGCTATCTCTGTGCTCCCCACTGAGGACCAGGATCTCCCAGCAGTGCGGCAGATGCTGCCGTTGCTGCAGAGGGGAGTAGGAGTGCACCACTCAGGGCTGCTACCTTTTTCCCCCTCGCTCTGCTCTGCTCCCTCCCTCCCTGTCCCCAGGTGTTCAACAATGCTATCTCTGTGCTCCCCACTGAGGACCAAGATCTCCCAGCAGTGCGGCAGATGCTGCCGTTGCTGCAGAGGGGAGTGGGAGTGCACCACTCGGGGCTGCTGCCCATCCTCAAGGAGCTCATTGAGATTCTCTTCCAGGAAGGGCTGTTGAAAGTTCTATTTGCCACTGAAACGGTGAGTTGGCTGCTTGCTGGTACAGAGGCGGGTGTTCATGCATGGGAGGGGCTCCTCAAAGTGGGAGTGGGAGTGCACCACTCGGGGCTGCTGCCCATCCTCAAGGAGCTCATTGAGATTCTCTTCCAAGAGGGACTTTTGAAAGTGCTCTTTGCCACTGAAACGGTAAGGAGCTACTGGTAACGAATGAGTAGGGCGTGAGAGGGGAGGGGCAGTGGAGTGGGAGTGCACCACTCGGGGCTGCTGCCAATCCTCAAGGAGCTCATTGAGATTCTCTTCCAAGAGGGACTTTTGAAAGTTCTATTTGCTACTGAGACTGTGAGTGAGAGATTGGGTTGCTTGTTCTGTTCTTGCTGTGATTGCTGGTGCTCCTGATGCTGGAGCTACGCTCATTTGTCTAACCACTCCCTTCCCTTTCCCCCGCTCCCCCACAACTCACTCCTCTGCAGTTCGCCATGGGACTGAACATGCCGGCTCGCACTGTTGTCTTCACAGCCACACACAAGTGGGATGGCGAGTCAAACCGCGCTATGCACTCAGGGGAATACATCCAGGTGGGTGCGAGTGCATGCGTGAGTGAGTGTGCGTGTGTGTGTGCTTGCGCCTCAAAAGGAGTGGGTTGGAGGGCCCGCGACAACACGTGTGGGACCTTAGTAGCTCGTCTCACGACTCGTGTTTTTGGCGCCTCAAAAACTGTTCCAGGCGATGACATCCATTTTCTATGTGTTCTATAGAGCCTAGTCCCGTTTTCCACTTACAACCAGATGTCTTGACGAGCAGTTGGTGGTAACGGTTTGAGGTGCCGAAAACGTTTCCTCCCTCTCTCTCCCCCCGCCTGCTCCCCCTTCCCCAACTCCCCCCAACCCTTGTCAGATGAGTGGGCGAGCAGGGCGGAGAGGGAAGGACAGCAAAGGAATCGTCATCGTGATGGTCAATGAGGAGGTGAGAAGGGTTGACGAGGGGTTGAGAACGGTGTTGTTGTGTGTTGTTGTCGCCATGCACATCACATCACACATCACATCACATCACATCACACATCACATCACATCACATCACATCATATCACACATCACATCACATCACATCACATCACATCACATCACATCACATCACATCACATCACACATCACATCACATCACATCACATCACATCACATCACATCACATCACATCACATCACATCACATCACATCACATCACACATCACATCACATCACATCACATCACATCACATCACATCACATCACATCACATCACATCACATCACATCACATCACATCACATCACGTCACATCACATCACACATCACATCACATCACACATCACATCACTGCATGGTATAGATACTTGTTGGCTAATTGGAATACGGTCATTTGAAAAAAAAACTCAAAAGCACGTGCTGGTTCACCAAACCCCATGATTCGTTTCAGGATACTGTCACAATGAAGCGAATTCTAGTTTTGAGGCGCCTCAAAACTAGACTTGAGGCGCCTCAAAACTAGACCAAACCCCATGGTTCGTTTCAGGATACTGTCAGGATGAAGCGAATCATATTCCGTTTCGCAGCCTCAGCCAGCCCAGCATGACTCCTCCCATTCTCATCCATTCTATTCCCAGATGACCATGGAAGCATGCAAGGAGATGATGCTGGGGAAGCCAGCCCCTCTGGAGAGGTCCTTCCGCCTGACCTACTACGCGCTGCTGAACCTCATGGCATGGTTTCACATGGGCTCACTCTCCCCATACCTTTTCATATGTGGCTTTCCTTCCTCACACCCAGATGACCATGGAAGCATGCAAGGAGATGATGCTGGGGAAACCAGCCCCTCTGGAGAGGTCCTTCCGCCTGACCTACTATGCGCTGCTGAACCTCATGGCATGGTTTCACATGGGCTCACTCTCCCCATACCTTTTCATATGTGGCTTTCCTTCCTCACACCCAGATGACCATGGAAGCATGCAAGGAGATGATGCTGGGAAAGCCTGCCCCCTTGGAGAGCTCCTTCCGCCTGACCTACTATGCGCTGCTGAATTTGATGGCTCGAGCGGAGGGGCAGTTCAATGCGGAGCATGTGATTGCACACTCCTTCCACCAGTTTCAGCACGACAGGGTACGTTGTAGCATAACAGTTGTAGCAGATTGGTTGTCACTTCTTCACCTCATGGCTCGAACGGAGGGGCAGTTCAACGCGGAGCACGTTATCGCCCATTCGTTTCACCAGTTCCAGCACGACAGGGTAAGTGCGTGTCTCAGTGCGTGTCTCAGTGCGTGTCTTGGTTGGAGGGTATGTAAGTGAGTTGACGCCTGACCTACTACGCGCTGCTCAACCTCATGGGGTCGAGCGGAGGGGCAGTTCAACGCAGAGCATGTGATCGCACACTCCTTCCACCAGTTCCAGCACGACAGGGTACGTGCGTGTGTCTCAAGTGCATGTGTGTGTGACGGACTCGGCACCTGCTATCTGCACCTCAAGTAGATGAGCAGTTCAACGCGGAGCATGTGATCGCACACTCCTTCCACCAGTTTCAGCACGACAGGGTATGGGACTGTGTGTGACCGCTCACTCACCTGCTATCTGCACCTCGAAAGGAGGGGCAGTTCAACGCGGAGCATGTGATTGCACACTCCTTCCACCAGTTCCAGCACGACAGGGTACGTTTGTGTCTCAGTGTCTCAGACTCCGCCTCTTCTCTGTTTTCGCCTCTTCTCCTCCCGTCGTTTCCCTATATTCGCCCCAGCAGCAAGTACCAGAGGTGAAAAGAGGGTTTAGCAGCTGCAGGCAGAGGTGAGGGAGTTCTTACATATAATTTCCTTCCCTTCGTTCTCAACCCCTCTCCCCCCACCCTCCTCCCCCGTGTCTTGATATCCTGCAGCAAGTACCAGAGGTGGAGAAGAGAATCAAGGAGCTACAGGCAGAGGCAGACGCGCTGGAAGCTGCCAAATGTGCGTCAGCTTCTCGTCCCTTTTCGCCCCTTACTCTTCCGTTCTCTTCCCGTTATCTCTCCCTCTCCTCCCCCCACCAGCAAGTGCCAGAGGTGGAGAAGAGGATAAAAGAGCTACAGGCAGAGGCAGATGCGTTGGAGGCAGGGACTGAGGTGAGGGCTTGAGTTTGAGAGAGGGAGGTGAGTGCTGCAAGGTTAGAGGAGTGAGGGAGTAGGGGTCGATTATGCACCTACAGGCAGAGGCAGGCGCACTGGAAGCAGGGACTGAGGTGAGGCTGTAGGGATTGAGGGAGTCTTTAGAAGGTGAGAGAGGTAGAGGGATTAAGCAGCTACAGGCAGAGGCAGACGCTCTGGAAGCAAGGACTGAGGTGAGACCTTGAGGGATTGGGTGAGGATGAGGACTTTTGAGACGTCTCAAAAGGGATTGTGTGAGGATGAGGTTTTCAGGATAGAGTGAGGCAGAGAGGAGTGGGGGAGGGAAGCTTGAGGGAGGAAAGGGCAGTCAGGAAAAGTCTAACATGTTTTTGGAATAGTAGTAAGACCAATAAGCACCACACAAGCGAGCGTAAACCCTAAACCTGTCAGTTTACGGTAAACTGTTTACCCGCGCACCAGGAAGCTCCGCTTTTCCACACTCAGGAGTGCCTACCCACCCACACACTGGCTCTAACACCTCGTCCTCCTCCGTGTTCCCCTTTCGACTTTCGAGTCGACTCAAAGTCATCTCGCTTTCCAGCCAACCCACACTTAGCCGGCGACTAAGTGTGAATTTCACAGCAGCCAAGGTGAGGGTGTATTATAGTTTACTGCTTTTCGCATTTTACTTTGTGTGCTTGCTTTGGAATGTTACTGTACAGAGTCGAGCTGCTGAGGATTTCGAGGTGGTTGGTGAAGAGGTTGATGGCGAATTCGATTCCAGCCAGCCTGGGAATTCAATTCGCCATTCACCAGGCTGGAAGGCGGTGCATGCCTAGTGGGCCCAGTGGGACCCAGCTAGCACCTTGAAGCCTACGCGATCAGCTCGGCTGACTCGCGCTTAGGAGTAGAGGTAGCTTGCGGGACAAGGCACCTAGGCAGGAGGGGATGTAGACTGGGGTAGCGCTCAGACTCGTTGCTTTTTGCTTGTATGTTTCTCGTTTACTGCAATTTGCTTTCCTAATCCGAAGGGAACTAGCAGTAGGAGAAGCTAACAGCAATCTGACGGAGCCCTTGCGAGGGAGTTTAAGACTTGTTGCATACAAGCAAAAAGGCTTTACGACTGTCTAGAGTACAGGAGTCAGGCTTGGCCGCCTGGAGTAGCTTGCGGTGATGCGCCGTGAGGAATGAGTGAATTTGATCAGGAGCTTCATACTCATCAACTGCGCTCGGGTCACCGATTCCCTGCGAGGATGATGGAGGGACGTGATCCGCCGACCAGGACGCCTGGATTTCGTGCGGGGGAAGGAGATAATAACGTACGCGGCAATCAAGGATCGGATCGGGAGAAGGAAGGTAGCAGACAGAGAGAACAGCCGCTGAGCTCTGCTTGTGATTCACCAGCAGGCGGAAGCAGAATTCGCCCTGTGGGGCCTGGACCTCGACGAGGACCTCCTGATCTGGGAGGGGAAGAGCATTACGAAGAGCGGCGAAGTCAGAGAGGAGGAGACGATCACCACGAAGAGCGACGGAGCCAGCGAGAAGGAGATGATCAGCACGAAGAGCGACGAAGTCAGAGAGGAGGAGAACAGTATCATAGATTCTCAGCGGGAGGATACGAAGCCATGGAGGCCGGAAGAGGTGGTCGGCCTGCTGGGAGTGGGGAAAGAGGGACAACGAGCTGGGGGACTGGCAGATCGATGAACGCTGCGCCACCGAAAATCGAGGTGCCAGATCGCTTCTCGGGGACACCAGGAGAAGAGCCCACGCTAAAGAACTACCTCATGATGATAGAGGACATCCGCTACTGCTGGGACAGGGAGGGGCTGGATCCCATCGAATTCTTCAGAGGTTTGGGGAGGACTCTTAAAGGAGAAGCGCTGACACACTACCGTGTGGAGAGGCAGGGGTTGCTGATGCAGAACAAGAGAGGAGACTTCCCAGCTGCGATGATCACGGACCGATTCTTGGAGAGTCTGCAAGAACAATTCCCGGGGCATTCGACAAATCGGATGGCAGAGTTTCAGAACTTCATTCGAGCCACTGCAGAGTCGCTACTGGCCTATTACAACAGGCTGCTGGAGCTGGCGGAGGACATGGGCTGCATGGAAGAACGCATCTTGGTGACTAAATTTGTTAACGGGCTGGATAAAGACTTGATAGGCGACATGAGGAGCCGACTGTACTCCCTGGGAGTACGAGCCACGCTGCAGCAGGTATACCAGGTGGCGAAGGAAGTGGAAGAGGGGAAGAGATTTTATGATGGCATGCAAGGGTCGAGTTCCAGTCGGCCGAACGAGCGGAGAAGGCCAGCTTGGGCAGCGGTGGAGGGCAGAAGGGGAGAAGAGGATCGAAGGGAAAGACAGACAGAAGATACAAGGTGCTGCCATAAATGTGGGGAGCAAGGGCACCTTCGTAGGGATTGTGCTGTTGGGATAGTATGTGATACCTGCGAAGCAAAGGGGCACTTCAGACGGGATTGCCCCAAGGCGCCAATCTGCACGGGATGCGGAAAAAGGGGACATACGAAAGCCAGATGTTACAGTAAGGGAGATCGGATGAAAGGGAAATCAGCAAGGGAGTTACAGCAGGAACGGGAGCTGGCTAAACTGAAAGCCCAGATGGAGAAGGCGGAGATCAGCGAGGATCCTGAGAAGGCGCTGCTGGCTTGGGAGGATGACGAAGGGGAGGAGTATGATGAGGGAGAGCCCGAGTATGGGACGATGGCTATACCACCAAGGGAAAGAGGGGATCTGGGACTGCGCAGCGGGGGAGTGGACGGCAGGGCCGAGCAGAAACAACAGGAGAAGAAAATTAGCAGGCAGCCAGAAGGGAGTGGAAGCTCAAGAACGGCTCGTCGTCACCCTGAAGAACGGCTCGTCTGCCAGCCTACAGCCTTAGTAGTGGAACCCAAAGCAATAGCAGTGCGGGGAATACTTGTGGAAAACGCAGTGGTGGATACGGGGGCACAGAGCGTGCTGATCGGAAAGAAGCTGACAGAGCAGCTGCGGGCCCAGGGAGAGTTGGAGATCGTGAGCAAAGGCATACTGATCATGACAGCCGACGGCGGGGCCCCTAAATGGATGCCCTGTACGCGAGAACCGATCGAGATAACTCTGCGGCCCGGGGAGAAAGGAGAGACGAAGATCAGAGTGCAATGTGGGCTGACAGAATTAGAAGACTACGACATCTTACTGGGAATGGAGCTGCTGTTTAAGATAGGTACCATGATTTGTACTTGGCAGGAGCAGGTGCTCTACCGCCCAGACTTCCGGGAGGATGGGAAAGAGTTGAGTGAGCTGCTGGTACGATTCGTTAAGACAGAACCGAAGAAGGCCTGGAGGGCAGAGGGAGTGAGGAAGGAGAGCCTGCGAAGAGGGAGTTCAGAAAGGGAGAGAGTTACCGCTAGCTTAGATCAGTACAGTATTACCTTGGTGGAGCTGTTCGGGGGGTTGGGAGTAGGCTTGGCAGCAGCACTGGAAGCCGGACTGAAAGTGAAAAAGTGGGTATATGTGGAAGTAGACCCAGAAGTGAGGAGGATGGCTTGGAATCATGCTCTGATGCTGCAACAGCAGTACTCGGCGCAGCTAACAAGGGGAGTGTTACGGGAAGCCATGCAGAACAAAAAGTGGGACGTGGGGCAGATCACCAAGGAAGATGTAAGCAGCTGGGGAAAGGTGGATCTACTCGTGGCAGGATGGGAGTGCCAGGGCACTTCCCGAGCAGGAAAAGGGAAGGGCTTGCAGGATGCACGTACAGCCATGGTGTCCGCACTTTTGTCGATCATGAAGTGGGCGAGAGAAGCAGGAGGGGAATATGCTTACATATTGGAGCATGTAGATATGAGGGGAGATGCGCGGGAGCCGGTCCGAGCAGTACGAGAGCTGGTGGAGGCAGAACTGGGGAGGGGAGTGAGCTGTGATGGGGCGCAGCTGGGGGCATGGTGCCATAGAGTTCGACAGTTCTGGCAGAATGTCCTGCCCGAAGGGGAAATGAGAGCAAGGCTAGCAAGGGTGGAGAGGGATGGGAACCGGATAGTGGAAGATATTCTGGAACCAGGCAAAGTCGCCGCCCCTGTGGTAAAGCCAGATCATCCGCGGCAGTACCAGTGTAACCGAGTGGGGGAGGCACGGAGAGCCTGGCCGACGTTAGTAGCCTACTCTCAGGCGCGAGGGTTCGTGGAGGTGGATGGGATACCCGGTCCAGGGATGGTGTACGACTATCGTAAGAAGAGGTGGGAAGAGCCGACGGCCTTAGAACGCGAATTGGCCATGGGTTACCTGCCGGGGGCAACGGCTGCGGAGGGAATGGGAGACGAGGCACGCAGGGCGGCTCTGGGCAGAGCTATAGACCAGCACTCATTGAGGTGGTTAGTTGGAGAGATGAGAAAGGGGCCGGCCAGCAAGAGAGGAAAGGCAGGGACTGAACAGGGACAGTGCAGCAAGCAAGCATCATATGTAGCCCTCAGTAAGACCACGGCTGGGAAGGAGACACACATCACGACAGCAGGGGGCAAGGAAGTAGAGCCAAGCAAAGACTGGGAATTAGGGGCTGGCATAGGGGAGCAAGCCGCAGCTGCAATTCAGGAGGTACTACGGCAACACAGGAGCAATTTCGCATACAACTTGCTAGAACTGGGGAGGTATAAGGGGAGGGAGCTGGAGCTGAACCTCACCACGGAGCTGCCTACATACCAACGCAGGAGGAGGATGAATGCAGAGGATGCAGCCATATGTAAGGAGAAGTGCGAAGAGCTGCTAGCTGCAGGGATTATCCGCCCGTCGGAATCGAGTTACGCCGCGGCCACAGTGGTAGCTGCTAGGAAGGATATCACGGGGAAGGTACTGGCGAAGAGGGTGTGCGGGGATTTTAGGGAGCTGAACAAGATCACTAGTCCGGATAGGTACCCGATGCCAACTGCTGAAGACATTTTCGACCGTCTAGAGGGCGCCACCATCTTCACCACCTTGGACCTGCGATAGGGGTTCAACCAGATAGCCATTAGGGAGGAAGACAAACGGAAGACGGCGTTTCACGGGGTGGATGGGCTGTATGAGTACAATGTGATGCCTTTCGGGATACGCAACGCCCCTGCAGTGTTCCAGCGAGCCATGGATCAGGTGCTGAAGGGGATTTCGGCAGCAGCATGCTACATAGATGATATACTGATTTTCAGCAGCAGTGAAGAGCAGCACGTGCAAGATCTGAAGCGGACGCTAGAGGCAATAGCAGCTGCGGGTCTGATGTGCTATCCAGACAAGTGCAAGGTAGCAAGGCAGACCGTGGCTTACCTGGGCTTTGAAGTGAAGGGGGGCCGGCTGGCAATACAGGAAGCAAAGGTTAAGGTTCTGGAGAACTTGGCAGCACCAAAGGACAAGACCGGGCTGCGGGCGTTACTCGGCTTCCTAAATTATTACAGGAAGTTCGTACCGAACATCAGCCGCCGCGCCTACGTACTGAATCAGCTGCTGAAGGAAGGGAGGAGCTGACAATGGGGAGAGCTGGAGGAAGCGGCAAGGCAGGACCTGTTGGAAGCAGTACGGACTGGAACGCTGCTGCAGATACCGAGGGCAGATGCCCCTTTCATCTTATACACCGACTGGAGCAGCACTGCTCTGCCAAGAGATAGAAGGAGAGGAGAGAGTGGTAGCCTTCGCCAGCCGCAGCTGCAGCCCATCCGAGGCTAACTACTGCTCTTACGAAGGGGAGGGCCTGACAGCTGTATGGGGAATCACTCACTTCAAGGTGTACCTGCAGGGTCGGCATTTCACACTTGTGACTGATCATCAGCCGTTGCTGTGGTTGATGACTCCTCAGGAGCTGACTGGGAGAAACGCACGCTGGGCCATTAAGCTGCTGGGATTCGACTTTGAGATCCGACACCGACCTGGGAAAACGCTGCAGCATGCAGATGGGTTATCAAGGAACCCGCCACCGATGCAGCCGGTAGCGCAGCTGGCAGCCATGGCTCAAGTAGCGGCAGTAACCTGGGGGCAGGAGCAAGGAAAGAAGCGGTTAGGGGATATATGGGAAGATGAGGAGACCATGAGCTGGATCAAAGGGGGAGCCACTAGAAGAGGAAGGGGTGAGCGAGAGAGCCAGGGCCCGAGGGCAGCATTTCAGGTGGTTTCAGGAACAGCTGCAGCTGAGAACCAACGAAGGGTGGAAGGTGGTGCCGCAGCCACAGGAGAGGGCCAGGATTATGGGGAACGTGCGCGCGAAGCTGGGGCACTACGGCATAACCAGAACGCGGCAGCTGCTGAGCACCATGTACTGGTGGGCGAGCATGGGAAAGGATGTGGCAGGATTAGTGGCGAGTTGCGAGGCATGTCAGAGGAATAAAGCAAGGCTGGAGAAAGAGAGGGATGAGCTGCATTCTTTACCAATTCGCGGGTTGGGTTACAGGTGGTCGCTGGACCTCGCGGGAGAGCTACCGCTGTCGAAAGGAGGGAAGCAGTACATTCTGGTGATGGTTGAGCACACGAGCAAATGGGTGGAGGCACGAGCGTTACCAAGCAAGAACGGCGCACTGATAGTTGATGCATTTGAGGAGCTGGTGCTCACTAGGTACGGGGCATGCGGGGAGGTACTCACTGATCAAGGGAGTGAGTTCCAAGGGAGCTTTGATGAGCTGCTAGAGGAGATGGGTATCACGCACAGGGTCACCTCTAGGTACCACCATCAATCGGACGGACTGACCGAGAGGCTCATACAGACCTTGAAGAAAGGACTTAGGGCCTACAGCGAGTCCCACAAAAGGAGTTGGGACCGAGATCTCTGGTGGGTCTGGCGGGGTACAGGTTCGCGAAACAGGCGGCTCTGAAGAACCTATCCCCATACCACCTGCTGTTCGGGCGGGACCCTGTGCTGCCGGTCGATGCACCGAAGCTGCTTTCTGCGGTTGTAGAGGCGGATGAGCCGAACCTGTGGGCGGAGTTAGCACAGAAGAGGGCGAAGTATTTGAAGGAGCTGACTCCGGCAGCCCTGGATAACCTCCACGTGGCGCAGCTACGGGAAGCCTGAGATACCAGGAGGAGTGCAGGACAGGGTGATTACATACACCAGGAGGAAGAAGGGATGAACCTGATCTGCAGTGCGGGTGGCATGGAGGGAAGAAGAGAAGGAGAAATCAGCGGGATACGCATGGGAGAGTGGGAATGAGGGTTTGCAGAGGAGGATTCACAACAAAACGCAATGTTAAGATATGCAAGAAGGTGCCCACGGCTGTCCGCGATGCCTTCCGTGCCATGTACGAGGAGAAGGCGGAACAGCAGGAGCTGAAACGGCAATCGCTGCAGCACTTGACTCCGCATTTGACGCGGTCACTGGTAATTCGGAGAAGAGCGGGAAGGTTACTGATTTCTTCGGCGATCAGGCGACGTGCGCCAAGGAGGACGCGGATAACGCAATTTGCCTCATGTTCTCGACGCTGCGACTTCCGGAGCGCATCGCTGATAATCCGGTCTTCCGCCACGCAGTGGCGTGCATTGCGCACGCTGGACCGACGTACGTCCCCCCCAAGAGGCACTACATTGGAGCGGCGGGCTTGAAGAAGTGTCGGCAGAATATGCAGTCCGCACTCGCACCCGTTGCCGCGAGCTGGAAGCGGGACGGCGTAACCGTGTCGTCGGACATGATGACCGACCGATGTGGCCGCCCGCAGGCCAACATTCTCCTTGTCAACGACTCTGTCGCAGTTTTCGAGCAGTCGGTGGACTGCCACATGGAGTCGAAGACGGGGGGGTATATCTCCAGCATTCTCCGCCCCGTCATAGTTAAGGTGGGGCCGGAGAATGTGATGGCGGCAGCAACTATGCAGTGGCACCCAAGAAGATCGCGACAACATGGCCGCACATTGAGCATGTGCCATATGCCACGCATGTTCTGAACCTGATGATGGAAGATGTGGGGAAAATGGCATGGGCGAAGGTGGTTGTGGAGAATGCAGGGGAGATGATTAACTTCGTGCGCAACCACTTTGGGTGGTTTTTGTTACTGTTACTTGCTGGCACTTTTGACCCAAAACATGGCAAGGCATCTAACACTTTGGATAATCGCTGCACTTACTTATGTGGGATTCGATTTCTACTTTAACGAAGGGATCAACGGCTCTGAACTTTCGTCGTCTAGCAACTTCATCATCGGCGTCAATAGACTCGGTGTGAGTGTCAAAAATATGATCTACTTATCCAGGAAAAAGCAGTTTATATTTTTTACACTCACACCGAGTCTATTGACGCCGATGATGAAGTTGCGAGACGATGAAAGTTCAGAGCCGTTGATCCCTTCTATAAAGAATAGGTCGGATCCCACATAAGGAAGTGCAGCGATTATCCAAAGTGTTTGATGCCTTGCCATGTTTTGGGTCAAGGGTGCCTGCAAGCAAAAAAAACAAAAAAAGGTTTCTTTTCACCTGCCCGGAAAAAGTTTTACCTGCCCGCCCAGCGTAGTCCAGCGAATTTGCAGTACGGGAACAATGGCGTATGGCGTGTATACGCAAGCGTATCGTTCGTTAGCGTACGATACGTGAAACGCGTATCTGCCAACTTAGGGCTCTAACACCTCGTCCTCCTCCGTGTTCCCCTTTCGACTTTTGGGTCGACTCAAAGTCATCTCGCTTTCCAGCCTACCCACACACTGGCTCGAACACCTCGTCTCGTCCTCCTCTGTGTTCCCCTTTCCCTCTGACAGGATGAGATTCGCGAGTACCACGCGCTGCGTCTGTCACTAGTGGAGAAGGCACCTTGTCAGCCAAGTTGTGCACAACCTTTTCCCTTATCCTTGCTGGTTCTACTCCCCACTGGGCTCTCAGGATGAGATTCGAGAGTACCACGCGCTGCGTCTGTCACTAGCTGAGAAGGAGAGGCGGTTGAAGGCGGAGGTGCTGCGGCCCGATAGATGCCTGCACTTCCTGCAACCGGGTAGACTGGTGAGCATGGGGGTTCCCTTGGGCAAACCAGCAGCAGGAATTGGTAGGTGTAGGTGCTTGTTGAGAGGTGGCTCAAAGCGGAGGTGCTGCGCCCTGACAGATGCCTGCGCTTCTTGCAGCCGGGGCGACTGGTGAGCATGGGGGGTCCCTTGGGCAAAGCAGCAGCAGGAATTGGTAGGTGTAGGTGCTTGTTGAGAGGTGGCTCAAAGCGGAGGTGCTGCGCCCTGACAGATGCCTGCGCTTCTTGCAGCCGGGGCGACTGGTGAGCATGGGGGGTCCCTTGGGCAAAGCAGCAGCAGGAATTGGTAGGTGTAGGTGCTTGTTGAGAGGTGGCTCAAAGCGGAGGTGCTGCGCCCTGACAGATGCCTGCGCTTCTTGCAGCCGGGGCGACTGGTGAGAGTGTTGGGTGAATGGTTGGGAGGGAAATACTGGGTGCGTGCGTCTCAAAGCAACACCTCCTCGGCCCTCATCGCCCCCTCGTTGCACCCGCTCATTCCACCAACTCCTCACTCTGTTGTACATTCTCCTGCCCTGTTGTTCCTTGCAGATCCGAGTGGTTCATGGATTGGACGACTGGGGGTGGGTTTTGAGGCGCCTCGAAATACATTCTCCTGCCCTGTTGTTCCTTGCAGATCCGAGTGGTACATACATGGATTGGACGACTGGGGGTGGGGAGTGATCGTCAACGTCATGAATCATACCTCTCACAGCAACACTTCCTCCGCTCTCATCGCTCCCTCATTCCATTTTCACGAACTCCCCACCCCTTTATCCATTTGGCAACCCTGTTTTTCCCGCCCTGTTCCTCTCAGATCCGGGTAGTGGATGGTCTGGACGATTGGGGGTGGGGAGTGATCGTCAACGTGATGAAGCAGGCCTCTCAAAGCAACACCTCCTCCGCTCTCATCGCCCCTTCGCCCACCGCCTCTGCTGCTGCCGCTGCACCGCTCTCCACCACGGCATACCTGGTGGACACGCTGCTGCTGTGCTCTCCCGTGGTGGACAGTGGAGGAGCGGAGGGCTCCACTGCTCAGCTTGTGCCACGCCCGTGCGCCCTAGACGGGAACGGAGAGATGCATGTGGTAAGTTAGCACGGCATACCTGGTCTGGTGGACACGCTGCTGCTGTCAACTCTGCTCCCTCTGCTGCACCGCTCGCCACCAGAGGGACATGCTGCCGCTGGTAAGTTAGCACGGCATACCTGGTCTGGTGGACACGCTGCTGCTGTCAACTCTGCTCCCTCTGCTGCACCGCTCGCCACCAGAGGGACATGCTGCCGCTGGTAAGTTAGCACGGCATACCTGGTCTGGTGGACACGCTGCTGCTGTCAACTCTGCTCCCTCTGCTGCACCGCTCGCCACCAGAGGGACATGCTGCCGCTGGTAAGTTAGCACGGCATACCTGGTCTGGTGGACACGCTGCTGCTGTCAACTCTGCTCCCTCTGCTGCACCGCTCGCCACCAGAGGGACATGCTGCCGCTGGTAAGTTAGCATGGCATACCTGGTGGCCACGCTGCTGCTGTGCTCTCCCGTGGTGGCGGATGGAGGAGCGGAGGGCTCCACTGCTCAGCTTGTGCCACGCCCGTGTGCGCTAGACGGGAATGGAGAGATGCATGTGGTGAGTGAATGAGTAGCTTGTGCATGCATGGTGTGGAATGCGCTCTCTTTGCACGGGAGGATGGACAGGCAGACACAGACGGCGGTGCTGCTGCTCCCCTTGTGCCGCGCCCGTGTGCGCTAGACGGGAATGGGGAGATGCATGTGGTGAGTGGGATGCGTGCGCATGCTGTGTGGCAGGCGGACAGGGAGGGCACTGCTGCTGCTGCTGCTGCTCCCCTTGTGCCGCACCCGTGTGCGCTAGACGGGAATGGGGAGATGCATGTGGTGAGTGGGTTGCGTGCGCATGCTGTGTGGCAGGCGGACAGGGAGGGCACTGCTGCTGCTGCTGCTGCTCCCCTTGTGCCGCGCCCGTGTGCGCTAGACGGGAATGGGGAGATGCATGTGGTGAGTGGGATGCGTGCGCATGCTGTGTGGCAGGCGGACAGGGAGGGCACTGCTGCTGCTGCTGCTGCTCCCCTTGTGCTGCGCCCGTGTGCGCTAGACGGGAATGGGGAGATGCATGTGGTGAGTGGGATGCGTGCGCATGCTGTGTGGCAGGCGGACAGGGAGGGCACTGCTGCTGCTGCTGCTGCTCCCCTTGTGCCGCGCCCGTGTGCGCTGGATGGGAATGGGGAGATGCATGTGGTGAGTGGGATGCGTGCGCATGCTGTGTGGCAGGCGGACAGGGAGGGCACTGCTGCTGCTCCCCTTGTGCCGCGCCCGTGTGCGCTAGACGGGAATGGGGAGATGCATGTGGTGAGTGGGTTGCGTGCGCATGCTGTGTGGCAGGCGGACAGGGAGGGCACTGCTGCTGCTGCTGCTGCTCCCCTTGTGCCGCGCCCGTGTGCGCTAGACGGGAATGGGGAGATGCATGTGGTGAGTGGGATGCGTGCGCATGTTGTGTGGCAGGCGGACAGGGAGGGCACTGCTGCTGCTGCTGCTGCTCCCCTTGTGCCGCGCCCGTGTGCGCTAGACGGGAATGGGGAGATGCATGTGGTGAGTGGGATGCGTGCGCATGCTGTGTGGCAGGCGGACAGGGAGGGCACTGCTGCTGCTGCTGCTGCTCCCCTTGTGCCGCGCCCGTGTGCGCTGGATGGGAATGGGGAGATGCATGTGGTGAGTGGGATGCGTGCGCATGCTGTGTGGCAGGCGGACAGGGAGGGCACTGCTGCTGCTGCTGCTGCTGCTCCCCTTGTGCCGCGCCCATGTGCGCTAGACGGGAATGGGGAGATGCATGTGGTGAGTGGGTTGCGTGCGCATGCTGTGTGGCAGGCGGACAGGGAGGGCACTGCTGCTGCTGCTGCTGCTCCCCTTGTGCCGCGCCCGTGTGCGCTAGACGGGAATGGGGAGATGCATGTGGTGAGTGGGTTGCGTGCGCATGCTGTGTGGCAGGCGGACAGGGAGGGCACTGCTGCTGCTGCTGCTGCTCCCCTTGTGCCGCGCCCGTGCGCGCTGGAGGGGAATGGAGAGATGCATGTGGTGAGTGGGATGCGTGCGCATGCTGTGTGGCAGGCGGACAGGGAGGGCACTGCTGCTGCTGCTGCTGCTCCCCTTGTGCCGCGCCCGTGTGCGCTAGACGGGAATGGGGAGATGCATGTGGTGAGTGGGTTGCTGCACGTGGCTTCGTCCCTCTCTCCTTCCCCCTCTTTGATGAGTGGCTGGGCCTATCTCTGCATTCCCTCCTTCCTTTCTCCTTTCCTTCCCACTTTCCTCCCCTCCCCTCCTTACCTCCCTGCCCTCGTCCCTCCCAGATCCCAGTAAAACTCCCAGCAGTGGCGCGCATAGGGGCGCTCAAAATCCCCCTGCCCACAGATCTTTGCCCCAAGGAGGCCAGCCAGGGGTGCATAAACTCTTCTCTTCCCGCCCTCCCTGTCTTTCAACCTCCCTCCTCCATCCCTCCCAGATCCCTGTCAAGTTACCAGCAGTGGCGCGCATAGGCGCGCTCAGAATCGCCCTGCCCACGGATCTTCGCCCCAAGGAGGCACGGCAGGCCGTGCTGGTGACACTCAGAGACGTCACCCAACGGTTCCCCGATGGCCTGCCCATTCTGGACCCTGTAGAGGTGAGTGAAATGATGGGAGGGAAGGAGGGAGGAAGGCCAAAAGAGGCGCGCCCCGCCAGGCTGTGCTGGTGACACTCAGAGACGTCACCCAACGGTTCCCCGATGGCCTGCCCATTCTGGACCCTGTAGAGGTGAGTGAAATGATGGGAGGGAAGGAGGGAGGAAGGCCAAAAGAGGCGCGCCCCGCCAGGCTGTGCTGGTGACACTCAGAGACGTCACCCAACGGTTCCCCGATGGCCTGCCCATTCTGGACCCTGTAGAGGTGAGTGAAATGATGGGAGGGAAGGAGGGAGGAAGACCAAAAGAGGCGCGCCCCGCCAGGCTGTGCTGGTGACACTCAGAGACGTCACCCAACGGTTCCCCGATGGCCTGCCCATTCTGGACCCTGTAGAGGTGAGTGAAATGATGGGAGGGAAGGAGGGAGGAAGGCCAAAAGAGGCGCGCCCCGCCAGGCTGTGCTGGTGACACTCAGAGACGTCACCCAACGGTTCCCCGATGGCCTTCCCATTCTGGACCCTGTAGAGGTGGGTGAAATGATGGGAGGGAAGGAGGGAGGAAGGCCAAAAGAGGTCCGCCCCGCCAGGCCGTGCTGGTGACACTCAGAGACGTCACCCAACGCTTCCCTGACGAACTGTCTATCGTAGACCCTGTTGAGGTGAGTTATGGAGGGAGGACGGAAGGAAGAGAATGAATGTGTGGGCTACTTGATTTGAGGCATCTTCAACCCAAGGAGGCAAGGCGGGCCGTGCTCTTCACACGTGTGTGTTAAGTCGATTTTTGAGTCGACTCAAAAATCGACTTAACACCCAAGGAGGCAAGGCAGGCCGTGCTCTTCACACTCAGAGACGTCACACAGCGGTTCTAGAGCTGGTTGACGTCTCTCTGAACCGCTGCCCCGCGAAAGTCTTCGCAGGTACTACTGCCTCACGCACAACAGTTGCAGAACTGCCTTCACCTGCACCGGCGGTTCTAGAGCTGGTTGACGTCTCTCTGAACCGCTGCCCCGCGTAAGTCTTCGCAGGTACTACTGCCTCACGCACAACAGTTGCAGAACTGCCTTCACCTGCACCGGCGGTTCTAGAGCTGGTTGACGTCTCTCTGAACCGCTGCCCCGCGTAAGTCTTCGCAGGTACTACTGCCTCACGCACAACAGTTGCAGAACTGCCTTCACCTGCACCGGCGGTTCTAGAGCTGGTTGACGTCTCTCTGAACCGCTGCCCCGCGTAAGTCTTCGCAGGTACTACTGCCTCACGCACAACAATTGCAGAACTGCCTTGACCTGCACCGGCGGTTCTAGAGCTGCTTGACGTCTCTGAACCGCTGCCGAGACGTCCCAGGACGGGCTGCCGATCCTATTCCCTGTACAGGCGAGTGAGGGAGTGAGTGAGTGAGTGAGGGAGTGAGTGAGTGAGTGAGTGAGTGAGTGAGTCACTGAGTGCGCTGTTAAGAATTCTCGAATTCGTCTCCATCCGTCTCCAACTGTGTGTACCCCTTCGCCATCTCTCCCGCTCTCAGGACATGGGCATCACAGACGAGTCGTTTTTGGACCTGGTGCATTCTATTGACCAGGAGGAGAGCAAGCTAGGAGCACCTGACACCTGTCTCGTTCGTACTTACTCTCATCCGTGCACCTCTCTTATCCATGACCCTGCCTCTCTCAGGACATGGGCATCACAGACGAGTCGTTTCTCGACCTCGTGCATTCCATCGATGAGGAGGGGAGCAAGCTGGCCAAACATGGCCTTTGAGTCCTCTCCTCTCTACCTTTTCTCTGTCTCCCGTGACCCCTTTGTCCATCTTCTCTCCCGCTCTCAGGACATGGGCATCACGGACGAGTCGTTTTTGGACCTCGTGCATTCCATCGATGAGGAGGAGGGCAAGCTGGCCAAACATCCTCTTTTCAAGGTGATTAACTAGCTGGTCAAGCAGCCAAGCCAAGCGTATGAAGAAGTGTTTTGAGACGTCTCAAAACACCCCTTTCACTAACTGAATGGCATTGCTCACGCCCCCATCCGCTGTGGCACCTGCACACTCGAAACCCCGATTCCATTTCTTTTGATGTTCCGTTCGGGCGTTGGGCTTACATTTTCCCTCCCGTTAACACCTGCACTGCACAGTGCACATCCCGTCCCACCCACCCCCTTCCTCCTTCTCGCGCAGCTTCCCGTAGCCTGAACGACCCCTGAACACCCCCTTTCCCCCTTCTTCTCGCTCCCTTCTTTCTCCCCTTCCAGGCGGAGATAGCGGAGCAGAAGCTGGAGGTGCTCAAGAGGCGAGGGCAGCTGCTGGCAGAGGCACAGAGGCTTAAGATGAAGACGAGGGAGTCACAGGTGCGTGTGGAGGAGTGCTGTGCGTTGGGGAGGTTTGTGATGCGGTGGGAAGGTTTGTGATGCTCTGCCAGTGGGGAGGCATGTGGAGCAGATCTGCACACTGTGTGAGCGAGCTACTCCCAAAAAACCGCCTGTGTGCGGCGGCATTCACCTCCTCTCTCATCCAGTGCTGCACCCTTCCCTTCACCTTTCCACTTCGTTTTTTCCCCTGTCTTTTCCTTCTCCCAATTCCTCCCATCTCCCCCCAGCTCTCTCTCTCTCTCTTCAAGTCTGAGCTCAGGTACCGCTGGCGCGTAATCAAACAACTGGGGCGCATCGATGCAGACGGGGTGGTTATTTTTGAGACGTCTCAAAAATAACCTCTCTACACGTGGGTAATCAAACAACTGGGGCGCATCGATGCACACGGGGTGGTGCAGCTGAAGGGTGCTCACCTCCCCACATGGTCCACCCACCCTTCCCGACCTCCCCCCAGCTCTCTCTGTTCAAATCCGAGCTGAGAAGCCGCTCACGGGTGCTCAAACGACTGCAAGCCGAGTGCCAGCTACGACTGCTGACAGCGGGGAGGGGGGAATGGAGATGTGTGGCACCATAGGGAGTGCGAGCGGAGTACATGAGGGAAGTGAACTGGTGAGGGTGTTCGAGCTCGGTTCTCCTCTAGCATCCTCTGCCGGTTCTCGTGCTAACAGCAGCTGCAGCACGAGAACCGGCAGAGGATGCTTGAGGAGAGCCGAGCTCGAACACCCTCACCAGTTCACCTCCCTCATGAACTCCGCCCGCACTCCCTATGGTGCCACACATCTCCACTCCCCCCTCCCCGCTGTCAGCAGTCGTAACTGGCACTTGGCTTGCAGACTCCGCCTTCTCAAAATCAGAAATCGACTCAGACGGGGTGGTGCAGCTGAAGGGGTACTCACTCACCTTCTCTCCCCCCATGCTCCACCCTTCTCTCCACCTTTTCCTGACTTCGTTTCTTTCCCCACCTCTCTTCCCCCGCAGCTCTCTCTCTTCAAGTCCGAGCTCCGAAATCGTTCAAGGGTGCTTAAGCGGCTGGGCCACATCGATGCAGACGGGGTGGTGCAGCTCAAGGGCCACTCACCCCTCCTCTCCCCTTCCCTTCCCAAACCTCTTTTCTTATGCTCCAACCTTCCTTCCCATCTCTCCTCTCCAGCTTTCGCTCTTCAACTCCTAACTGAAAAACCGTTCACGAGTGCTCAAGCGTCTGGGCCACATCGACTCCGATGGGGTGCTTCCACCAGCTCAAGGGCCGGGCAGCGTGCGTCATGCCCTCATAGGTGCTCAATCCTCCTCTCCTGCCTCTCCCTATTCCCCAGCTCTCACTCTTCAAATCCGAGCTCCGAAATCGTTCAAGGGTGCTTAGGCGGCTGGGCCACATCGACTCGGACGGGGTGGTGCAGCTCAAGGGCAGGGCGGCGTGCGTCGTCACGACAGGCGATGAGCTGCTGGTGACGGAGCTGATGCTGGAGGGCGCTTTTAACTCCATGGACCCTCACCAGCTGGTTGCTGTTGCCAGCTGCTTCCTTCCTTCTGAGAAGTCGAATGAAGAGCAGGTGAGTGTCTGCTTCAGGCCAGACCATGAGGAACAGGTGAGTGCTTTCTATACCCTAAAAAACTGGGGATTGAGCCGTTTCCTGGCTTGGTTTTGGAGGCCGGTGGCATGGAATGTCTGAAGCCCACGACAGGAGAGGAGCTGCTGGTGACGGAGCTGATGCTGGAAGGAGCTTTCAACTCCATGGACCCCCACCAGCTGGTTTTCTGTGGCTAGCTGCTTCCTTCCTTCAGAGAAGTCCAACGAGGAGCAGACTTTTCAGCCCCTGAGAAGAGCGCCCTTTTTTGGTGAAGTTTGGTTTTGAGGCGATGGCATGGCATTTTACGAGGTCATGAAGTCACGACAGGCGATGAGCTGCTGGTGACGGAGCTGATGCTGGAGGGGGCGTTCAACTCCATGGACCCCCACCAGCTCGTGGCCGTGGCCAGCTGCTTCCTGCCCTCTGAGAAGTCGAATGAGGAGCAGGTGAGGCAATGAGTCGTGGTCAGGTCATATAATTCAAGGGTGGACGGCAGAGGTGAATGCTGCTGTTGCTGCTGACGGAGCTGATGCTGGAGGGGGCGTTCAACTCCATCGACCCTCACCAGCTCGTTGCCGTTGCCAGCTGCTTCCTGCCCTCTGAGAAGTCCAACGAGGAGCAGGTGAGGAAGCGTTCAGCTCACCTCCTCTGTCCTCTGCTCCCCTGCTGTTGGTGACGGAGCTGATGCTGGAAGGAGCGTTCAACTCCATGGACCCTCACCAGCTCGGTGCCGTTGCCAGCTGCTTTCTGCCCTCTGAGAAGTCCAACGAGGAACAGGTGAGGCAGTGAGCCTTCCACAGTCCAGCCCACCTCCCTCCCTGCCCTCTCCGCTGCTGCTGGTGATGGAGCTGATGCTGGAGGGAGCTTCCAACTCATCCCCTCTTGCCTCCCTCCTCCTCCCCTACCCGCCTGCAGCCTGTGTCAGCGGACTTAAAGCCGCACTACAACACTTTAAGGGAGGCAGCGCAGCACATAGCGCAGGTTCAGATTGAGGAGAAGATAGAGGTGGACGAGGAGGAGTACGTGGATCAATTCCGGCCGACGCTCATGAACGTGTTCTTTCAATGGTCCAAGGTGAGGGAGAGGTTTTTAGGGATTGAGTGCGGTACAGAGGTGAAAAGGAGAGGTTGGGTGCGGTACTAAGGTGGTCAAGTGCAAATTGAGGAGAAGATAGAGGTGGACGAGGAGGAGTATGTGGATCAATCCCGGCCGACACTGATGAACGTGTTCTTCCAGTGGTCCAAGGTGAGGGATTGAGTGTGGTACAGAGGTGAAGAAGAGAAGTAGACTGCTTTACAAAGGTTAATGGCTGAAGTATAACGGGGGTTGAAAACGAACAAGTGAAGGTGATTGGACCCATCACAGGATGTGGAGAACAAGAATGAACACATTCATCGATTTCAGCCGATGGTCATGAATGTATACATTTCGTGGAGGCCAAGGTTTGGGGTTTAGGCAAAGGCGAAGAAGTGAAGGTAATGGAATCCACAAGAGCCTGTGAATTGGTTCCTGTGATTCAACGCTCATCAACGTGTTCTTCCAGTGGCTAAAGTTGGGCGAATGGATGGTGGAATATGAGTGTTACGAAGGCGGGCAATTGAAGGTCGTCATGGGATAGAGGATGAACAGAAGAGAAACAAACACTGTGGGCTGTTCTCAAGTTTGGGCTTGCACATTTCTCTGCTTATGTTCGTATGCACCAACAATTGGGGTGCATGGATTCTGTTTCTTTTTGTTTGTGACTGCAGGGAGAGTCGTTTGGCAAGGTCATTGACAGCACGGATGTGTTCGAGGGGACGATCGTGCGTGTGGCTCGACGGCTCGATGAGCTTCTAAACGAGGTGGGATTGATTATGTTACATCACAATAAACACCAGTGCAATCGGGAGTCGTGCCTGATTTATCCTGCTATTGTATTTGTGTAAAATCTTATGTCCATTTTCTCCTTGTGCAGATGAAGCTGGCGGCTCAAGCAATCGGGGAACAAGCTCTTGTAGATAAGTTTACCAAGGCTAGTGAGAGCATCCGCAGAGGCATTATGTTTGCCAATTCGTTGTATGTTGAGTGACATGGTTGGATTGGCATTCACACAATATAATATGCATGTGAGTACCTAAGTAAATAGTTTATATGAGGTAACAATCTACATGTATGTTTGTTTTACAACCCTTTGAAAATGCCGAGTGAATAAGGAGGTATCTGGCCAGAAACCTGGAACAAAATCGTTGCGCGATCCTGTTGGGGACATAGGTGCTGCCGACCAGCGCGGTGGGCTACTGTGGAATCCTGCCTGACGAAGTTACTATCCCCCCAGTGTGAACTTCGTTGTGGGTTGTGCGGACAAGGTTACTAGGTTCCAGGCTTCGCCAGTGCTCGTAAGCGAAAACACCAGACTAGTCCGATTTCTGAACTCAGATGCAATGTCCCTTTGGAGGACCGTCGATTGGTCGAATCGGACGGTCCAAGACACCGTCTAGCTTGGAATTGACGCGGGACATCGGACGTGTGTGACTTCCACTTTCACCGCGACGGTTCGAGCGCATTGGTAGCACTAGGCGCTACTACTAGGCGCTAAATTTTTAATCCCCCGCCAGCCAGCCAGCCAGCCAGCTGACGGAGGGGAAGCGAGCTCTCTCTTCCAGCCGTCGGATGCTCGCTTCTCTGGCATTGCATGTATCAAGGTTTTGACGGGTTCTGAACGTGCGTTGAGACTCTTCTGAACGAAGGTTGAGAACTTGAGACTCCGAGTCTATCCTAAGTAGATTCTCGAACGCCGTGTGACGCGTCACTGGCGACGACAACCCTCATACCTTGTTGACAACCAGCTGAGTAGTCCAAGACAGGGCGATGCGCTCGGTCCAGCTGTCGCAACTTCCCGGAGTCGCCCCGCCGAGCAAACCCAGAGCTTTTTAAGAGCCGCGTTTAGGTCAATCGATGGATGATTGAGCTAAAGTGTTTCAAAGCTTTTTTTTCCCCCGTACCATCATTGGCCGGGAGTAAGCGGCCTGCCATTGCGAATGTTAACCGGCGATTCCTAGCCGTTAATCCTCTACCGGCGATTCGCAGTGCGATTTTCTGCCGTCGCGGATTTTCTACTTCGCGATTCTTAGCCTGCCGCGTTCTCAGCCGGCGATTCTCGATTGCGACTCTCAACCGACGACCCTGCGACTCCTGCGACTCCTGCGACTCGTTCGACTCGTGCGACCCGTGTGACCCGTGCATCCACACCACCACTGCTTCCTTCCTCATCCGAGCGACGGCTGTGCATGATCATGGCAATGTCACTATCCGCGTTAAAGTCGTCCGCGTTACACAGTTCCTCGTCACCACATTACCAAAAATCTACTAAAACTATTCTCTGCGCCGTTCGCCCTGCTTCCTTCCCCGTCTCTCTTCCCCCATCCTCCCCCACCTCCTCCTCCATCTCCTCCTCCTCCTTCTCCTCCTCCACCCTATCGGACCACCCTCAGCAGCTAGCGCCGCATCAGTGCATCCGTTCTCTCTTTCAACTCAATCCATCAGAGGCAACCGAAGCGAGGGGTCTTCTAACGCGTATCCAGCTATTACTCGGAAAAGCACAAACCCGTCGCGAAATACTGCCCGTGTTGCCTTTACGAGCGGCTACGAAGGGAAAACTTTCGGAGGAGGTGTAGGTGTAGACACTGCCGCGCCGAGAGTCTTAACGGAGGCGCCTGTAACGAATCTGACGCCGGCGAACGAGATTCTGCAAGTGTGCCGAACCGCAGGCCCCGCCACCATCGCCATCGCTCCCGATTTGAATGGACAGACCTGGCGAGGCTGGGGCACGTCGCTTGCTTGGTGAGTTACTCAGCAAGAACGGTTCTTCATGGTGCACCAATAACTTACTCTCCAGGCCTGCCACCATCGCCATAGCTCTTGGTCTCAATGGACAAACCTGGTGAGGCTGGGGCACGTCGCTTGCTTGGTGACTTCTTCAGCAATAACGGTTCTTCTGGGTTCTTCTGGGCCCGCCACCATCGCCCTTGCTCCCGATCTCAACGGACAGACGTGGCGAGGCTGGGGCACATAGCTTGCTTGGTGAGTTTCTCACTGTGATTTGCTGGCTTAAAGCTCGCGTCTCATATTTTCTCCGTTTTACACTTGGTTGGGTTTGGGCCTCCGTGACTGGTTTGCGATTGACGAAATCTGTGACGAGCTGAAGTAAATTTCTGCCGAAACCAATCACGGACGTGCGTACCCAACCAAGTGTTAAACGCTTGTAAATATGAGACGCGGGCTTTAAGTGGGGTACGCCCTCTCCCACCTGCCTGCCCACCCCCACCCCAACTCCCATTTCCCCCATTCCCTCCTCCCAAAGTCAGGTTTGCCAACTATATCGGCAAGCTCCCACCAGACCAGCTGAACCAAATCCTTGACCTAATCTCACATACTCACTCGGTTTCCCCTCCTCCCCTCACCGCCCATTTCCCCCATTATCTTCCCGTTCTCTCCCCATTCTCTCCCCATTCTCTCCCCATTCCCTCCTCCCTAACTCAGGTTTGCCAACTATATCGGCAAGCACCCACCGGACCAGCTCAATCACATCCTTCTCCTAATCTTTGATCCCTCCTCCACCCCTCTTCACCGCATCCCACCCCGCCAACCCCAACCCCACCAGGTTTGCCAACTATATCGGCAAGCTCCCACCAGACCAGCTGAACCAAATCCTTGACCTAATCTTCGATCCCACCTCCAGCATCGGCCTCAATCTCGCAAGCTACCTGATCGGCGGCAGCTACATCCTCCTCTCCCCCCACATACTCATTCGCTCTCCCCCCTTTCTTCCCCCCAACTCCTCCTATTTCCCCCCATTCCCTCCTCCCTATCTCAGGTTCGCCAACTATATCGGCAAGCTCCCACCGGACTAGCTGAACCAAATCCTTGACCTAATCTTTGATCCATCCTCCATCCCTCTTCACCGCATCCAACCCCCCAACCCCACCAGGTTCGCCAACTACATCGGCAAGCTCCCACCAGACCAGCTCAACCAGACCCTTGACCTAATCTTTGGACCATCCTCCATCCCTCTTCACCGCATCCAACCCCCCAACCCCACCAGGTTTGCCAACTACATCGGCAAGCTCCCACCAGACCAGCTCAACCAAATCCTTGACCTAATCTTCGATCCGTCCTCCGGTATCGGGCTCAACCTCGCACGCTACCTGATCGGCGGCAGCTACAATCTCGCCAACAGCCCCCGATTCGACACTGCGGACTGGGAATCCCGGGCAATTCCGGGTTATAGACCTTTGGAAAGCGGGCCATATGATTGGACGAGAGATTGGCGGCAGCGGAAGGTTCTGGACGGGGCTATAGTGAGGGGAGTGGATGAGGTGGATGCGATTATTTACTCCCCGCCCTGGTGGATGACTATAACGGGGGATACCTCTGGAAATGCGAAAGACGAGACGAATCTTCAGCCGGACGCGTACGGCGCTTATGCGGGTTATATGGCTGATGTGGTCGGCAGGTTTCGGACTCATTGGAACGTGACTTTCTCGACAATGAATCCGGCGAATGAGTCGCTGGAAGGGTGGTGGGTGAAAGGGGGCCGGCAGGAAGGGTGTAACTTCAAACCGGAGCAGCTTGAGAGGCTGACGTGGGCCGTGGCAGCGGCACTTAGAAGGCGGAATCTGCCGACTGGTGTGGCGGGTTTTGACAGTTTTGTCGGGGCTACAGTAAGGTTTCGTCACAAGTTTACCGCGAGGGTAAAATCCATCTTGAAACGGATTAATGTGCACCAGTACGTGCCTCCCCCTTCCAACACCTCCGATGCTCGGCAGTATGTTGAGGGAACCTATGTGAGTATGGCGAGGATGGCGATTGGGTTAGGAAAGGAGGTGTGGGTGTCGGAGGTGGGTCCGATGTGGGTGGGAGGAGGTCAAATTGACGTGGCGTTGTTCTTGGCTCGATCGGCCATTCAATCGATCAACATCATGGGAGCATCCGCTTGGATTTACTGGCAAGCGATTAATGGCGCATCGGAGACGAACGTCAATGCGGTCAAATGGGGTCTTTTTACGATCCCGTTTAATCGGTTGAGCAACGAGACAGCCCCGCCGCTGGATATAGTCCTCACGAAGAAGTTTTACGTGTTGAAGCAGCTCGCTCAGGCTTCTCCCAGAGACAGTCTGCCTTTGCAGATTGATTCAAGTAACGGGTGTCATCATTGCGTGGCTGCTTTTTACCACCCCACCAAGCACTTCATTTCGCTCTTCATCGTCAATCAAGGAGACAGCTCGTACTACCTGACTTTTACATTTACGGCGTTTGGGCTCTTTGACCCACTAAGTCCATGTAAAATGGAGTTGTGGCGGACGTCTACAGCTGAAGATGCTTCACTGGTTGCATCACAGAGCTTTGCCGACGTGCCTGCTTCATTCGCTGTTACGGCTGAAGGGCTTAGCATGACATCTATTGTGTTTTCTAATGTTTCATGGTTGTAAATGCATTGGCTGTATTGATTTGCTACACTTGTTGTCAATATCAGTTTGCCTTCAACCCCTTTCTCCAAAACTGGAAATTGACGGCGGCGCAGCAAGTCTGATTGCTGCAGAGAGTTGCAGTCGGTCTCAGCAGATGTGTTTAGCTTTGTGAACGGTAGGGGTAGTTACGCCGTGATAACTAGCGGTTCAACCGAACGCCTGACATGTAATCTTGACCTTGGTCAACCTCCAACGGTCAAAAGGGCGATGGATGGTCTGATCGCGAAAAATATTATGGTCATTCATGATTGGCCGATTCTCACGGTTGCAGTCAACCGATTGGGTGTCTTGTGGAAAATGGGCAGCGAATATTCGAGGATACTTTTTTCGAGACCCCGTGCTCCCTGGCCCTTGGCAGTTGCACGAGCTCGAACTCACAACGTGTTTAAATGTTTGATGACAGCCTGATAGCACATTGATCTTCAGTTTTGCAATATTTGGAATCTGTTACGGAGAGAAACCTCCATACAACAGTGACCATTCTGTGAAAATGACACTGAGATGAACTTGAAACAACCGTTGTGTGAACGGCTGCAAATATTTGGCACGCAATGCATCGCTTCGATAGGTAATGAATATCCCAGTGATGCATGTATGTATCTCCCAGTTTACTGCTGTATGGTACTTTCAACGCCTCTTTTGGGAATCACGAGGAACTGTCACTGTGTCATTGCTCATTCCGTTGGCCAGAACCAGTGTGCTTGTGCTAGACGTCTCCTTTCGTAGAATTTCAATACCTTGGTCCTGAAGTAGAACTGATCATGTGCTTTCTCTAGGCGGGCATTTCTGTTCTTCAGGCCGTTCTTAATTAATATTCGGTCTAATCTCACTCGCATGTCCAGCGTTGGCGCCATGGATCGCCTGATCATCCTGCCTTGTCGCAACGTTCCAGCCATTTCTGCTTCCACATTGAAACCGAAATGTCGTGAAACCTTTCGGGGTGTTTCGCAGCAGAATTCACTGCTACTAGCTTTCACAACTCGCCGTCACGCGCTTCGTTCTACGGTTTCCGTCACTAGCAGACAATCTTTCGCTCCCTCTTCTAGCGTGAATTCCGCAAGCAGGGTGGTTCGCGCTGCGAGTGCTACTAACGCGGATGGAGGGGAAACTACCGAAGCAGCAGCGCGTGACGTGGCGGATGATCCCGCCACAGTGGCAGCCCAAATGGCATTGAGCGTCTCGGAAGAGGCGTTTCCGGACGGTGACGTGGACGAGGCGCGCGCCGCAGCCGCCGCTGCGCTGATGGAGAGCGATCTGCTCCAAAAATCGCCGGAAAACGCAGCTGGAAACGCGGCGGGAAATGCGGTTGGGGAGTTGGGGAAGGAAGGAGCGGAAGAGAGCAGAATCGGAGCTGCTGCCGCTGCTTCTGCAGTTGCCGCTGAGCCGCAGGCGAGCGTGACAGTAACGAAGGGGACTAAAAGGGGGATAACCGTTAAGGGAAAGAAAGTGAGAGTAGGAGGAAGAGCAGGAGGGGGAGAGAAAACTTGGAGCGGATCTGATGGGGAAGGCGACTTCAGCGGGAGTGAGAGTGACAATGGTAGTGGTAGCGATAGTGGAGGAGAAGAGGTGTTCCGTGTGGTGTGGTCGTCCAGTGACAGCAGGATAGACTATCTCGGGGAGAGCACTAAGGGGGATATGGTGCTTCCGGATCTGCCTGTCGACCTCGGTAAGTCAATATAAAAGAGTCTCCGAAAGTCAAAAGAGGGAGTGAGAGTGACAGTGGAAGTGGTAGTGATAGCGGAGGAGAAGAGGTGTTCCATGTGGTTTGGTCGTCCAGAGACAGCAGGATAGACTATCTCGGGGAGAGCACTAAGGGGGATATGGTGCTTCCGGATCTGCCTGTCGACCTCGGTAAGTCAATATAAAAGAGTCTCCGAAAGTCAAAAGAGGGAGTGAGAGTGACAGTGGAAGTGGTAGTGATAGCGGAGGAGAAGAGGTGTTCCATGTGGTTTGGTCGTCCAGAGACAGCAGGATAGACTATCTCGGGGAGAGCACTAAGGGGGATATGGTGCTTCCCGATCTGCCCGTCGACCTCGGTAAGCCCAATTCTCCCAATCCTCCTCTTTGCTAAGTCCTATTCCCCCCCAGGAGAATTCGGTCGGTTCTTGGTAAGGAAGGTGTGAGCACCATTTGGGTGCCATGACTTCGTGTGGCAGCGGCTGAGATGTCGGGAACACTCACCAGAGAGGTGACTTTTGAGTCGATTCAAAAGTCACCTCGTAAGGAAGGTATGAGCACCACTTGGGTGCCATGACTTTGTGTGGCAGCGACTGAGATGTCGGGAACACTCACCAGGGAACGAGGGGCGGCGAGCCTTTGACCTGGAAATGAATGCGGATGTGGGCCCAAAGAGGAGGAGCTCGCCAAGGCAGAGGCTGATGAGGCCATTTCTTCCCCACATACTTCCCCTCCTCTATTCCCCCCCCCCCCCCCCTTCCCCCAACCAGGGAACGAGGGGCGGCGGGCCTTTGACCTGGAAATGGACGCGGATGTGGGGCCCATAGCGGAGCTCGCCAAGGCAGAGGCTGCACTGCACCCAGTCTCCCCCTAAAACACACCATTTCCCCCCATCGCTCCCGCCCACCAGAGAACGAGGGGCATCGGGCCTTTGGCCTGGACTTGCAGGCACACGAGGGGGTCCATAGCGGAGCTTGCCAAGGCGGAGGCTGTTGATGAGATGCGTACACCCAGTAACCCCCTTCTACAGAGAACGAGGGGCGGCGAGCCTTTGACCTGGACTTGCAGGCACACGAGGGGGTCCATAGAGGAGCTTGCCAAGGCGGAGGCTGACGAGGCCGTTTCTTCCCCACATACTTCCCCTTCTCTTTCCCCCCCCTCCCTTCCCCAACCAGAGAATGAGGGGCGGCTTGATCTGGACTTAGACGCGGATGTGGGGCCCATAGAGGAGCTCTTTTGAGTCAACTCAGAAGTCTTTATCTCCCCCCCACGCCCTCTTCCCCCAACCAGAGAATGAGGGGCGGCTTGATCTGGACTTGGGTGCGGATGTGGGGCCCATAGAGGAGCTCGCCAAGGCAGAGGCGGACGAGGCGGAGCTGCTGCTGGAGCAACTGGGCGTGCCTGTGAGTGACTGTGACTCTATGCCGTGTCAGTCGTACAGTGTGACTGTAAGGAATTGTGACTGTATGAGGAGCTCGCCAAGGCTGAGGCTGACGAGGCGGAGCTGCTTCTGGAGCAGCTTGGCGTGCCTGTGAGTGACTGTGACCGCAGGCAGTGCGTCCTGTCCGTAAAAAAGAATGACTGTACAAAGAGCTCGCCAAGGCGGAGGCTGATGAGGCGGAGCTGCTGCTGGAGCAGCTGGGTGTGCCTGTGAGTGACTGTGGCTGTGAGTTATTGTGACTATGAGTGGCTGTGACCGACCGCAGGCAATGTGTCCTGTCTGTGGAACTGAGTGACTGTAAGGCAGTGTGTGTGGGGCTAATAGAGGGCCTCGCCAAGGCAAAGGCTGATGAGGCGGAGATGCTTCTGGAGAAGCCGGATGTGCCTGTGAGTGACTGTGACTGAGTCATTGTGACTGCACATGCAGATGATGTCAGTCAGACAGTGTGACTGTATGAGGAGCTCGTCAAGGCAGAGGCTGACGAGGCAGAGCTGCTGCTGGAGCAACTGGGTGTGCCTATGAGTGACTGTGACTATGAGTGGCGTGGCACAGGCAATGTGTCCTGCCTGTAGAAACAGAGTGAATGTAAGGCCGTGTGTGTGGCTGTATGAGGAGCTCGCCAAGGCGGAGGCTGATGAGGCGGAGCTGCTGCTGGAGCAGCTGGGTGTGCCAGTGAGTGACTGTGACTGTAAAGAATCCTGTGTTATATGACAGTACTGTTGTGTGGATTGGATTGTATTGTAGACGCAGATGACTCAAAAAACATCCTCTCACTCTCCCTCCCCACTTTCCCTTTCCTGTCCAGCCTCATCCGTTCCCCCATGACATGACATATTTTGCCTCTGCAGGCGCACTTTGAACCCGTGTGATCCCTTAATCCCTCCCCGTCCCCATCTATTGTTATCCCTGGCAGCCCCAGTTCCCCCATGGGCTGGCGTCGCGCGGCATCTTCTGCAGCCGCACTCTCAACCTGCGATCGATCACGACCATCGGATATGACATGGACTACACTCTGATTCACTATAACGTCAATGTAAGCACTCTTATCGAGTATGACATGGAATGAACTACTACACTCTGATTTACTATAATGTCAAAATATGTACCCCTGCTGGATGTGACATTGACTGCCAATGCCACACAAGGCAAGTACCCCAAATGAAAACGAGGTAGTCTACACCCCGATACACTAGACTGTCAACGTATACGTATGCACACCCCCATTTTCTCCCACCAGTAATCTGGACTAATTAAAGCAATCCCTTTGCCTCTTTTCCGAACCTCTTTCCCTGTCCAGGCCTGGGAGGGCCGAGCCTACGACTATGCTATGGAGAACCTCCGAGCCAAGGGGTACCCGACCGAGGGGCTGAGGTTCGATCCGGACCTGGTGATCCGAGGGTTGGTGATGGACAAGGCGAGTGGCAACCTGGTGAAGTGCGACCGGTTCGGGTTCGTGAAGCGAGCCATGCACGGCACTGAGATGCTTTCCAACAAGGCCATCAGGTGAACCCTCATACAAGCAGGGCCATCAGGTGAGCGAGGCAACGAGGGAGATCAAGTGAATAGGTAGGGGTCATCTCTTAGAGTGAGGCACGTGTCAAGCGAGCCATGCACAGCACTGAGATGCTTTCCAACAAGGCCATCAGGTGAACCCTCATACAAGCAGGGCCATCAGGTGAGCGAGGCAACGAGGGAGATCAAGTGAATAGGTAGGGGTCATCTCTTAGAGTGAGGCACGTGTCAAGCGAGCCATGCACAGCACTGAGATGCTTTCCAACAAGGCCATCAGGTGAACCCTCATACAAGCAGGGCCATCAGGTGAGCGAGGCAACGAGGGAGATCAAGTGAATAGGTAGGGGTCATCTCTTAGAGTGAGGCACGTGTCAAGCGAGCCATGCACGGCACCCAGATGCTGTCGAACAGGGCCATCAGGTGAGTCGGAGAGATGCTGCCCAACAGGGCCGTCAGGTGAAGCACAGAGATGTTCGTCAAGCGAGCCACGCACGGCACTGAGATGCTGCCCAGTAGGGGCCATCAGGTGGGTCAAAGCAATGCTGTCCTACAGCAAGCTGTATGGTAGGGAGCTGGTGGAGTGAGGTGACTTTTGAGTCGACTCAAAAGTCACCTACAGCAAGCTGTATGGTAGGGAGCTGGTGGAGTGGACTTGAGGAATGAGGCTCCCAGCTAGGAGGTTCTGAACACGTTCTTCAGTGTGAGCGAGGCAGTGGTTTACGTGCAGATGATTCACTGCCTTGACCCCCTTTCCCTCCTTTGCTGTTCTGTGTGTTCCCCGCGCTACCTCTCGCAACAGCAAGCTGTACGGTCGCGGGCTGGTGGATCTAAGAAACGAGGGGCGCTGGGAGTTCCTGAACACGCTCTTCAGTGTGAGCGAGGCCGTGGTGTACGTGCAGATGGTTCACCGCCTTGACCCCTCTTTCTCACCTTGCTTTCCATTCGGTGTTTGCTTTCCTGCCCCACCTCTCTACAGCAAGCTTTACGGCCGCGAGTTGGTCGACCTAAGGAACGAGGGGCGCTGGGAGTTCCTGAACACGCTCTTCAGTGTGAGCGAGGCCGTGGTGTACGTGCAGATGGTTCACCGCCTTGACTTGACCCCTCTTTCCCTCCTTCTTTTCCCTGCTCCGTGTTTCCCCTCTCCCCTCTCTCAACAGCAAGCTGTACGGCCGTGAACTGGTAGACCTGAGGAATGAAGGCAGGTGGGAGTTCCTGAACACGCTCTTCAGTGTGAGCGAGGCCGTGGTGTACATGCAGATGGTTCACCGCCTTGACTTGACCCCTCTTTCCCTCCTTCTTTTCCCTACTCCGTGTTTCCCCTCTCCCCTCTCTCAACAGCAAGCTGTACGGCCGTGAACTGGTAGACCTGAGGAATGAAGGCAGGTGGGAGTTCCTGAACACGCTCTTCAGTGTGAGCGAGGCCGTGGTGTACGTGCAGATGGTTGACCGCCTTGACCAGGGGCTGCTCCCTGCTGAGGTGGCTCCAGGGGACTACAAGACCCTTTATACAGTGAGTCGTTATAGTATTCTGGTGTGTTGACTGACTGACAGGTACCAAGGTGGTCTACATGCAGATGGTTGACCGCCTTGACCAGGGGCTGCTGCCTGCTGAGGTGGCACCTGGCGACTACAAGACTCTTTATAAGGTGACTTGCTCTAGGATTATTCGTTTTATGTGACACGTAAGGTACGTGTTTAAGGTGGTGTACAAATGCAGATGGTTAACCGCCTTGAGAAACTAGAAGGTGACTCTCTGTGTAGTGATCTGCTTTTCTTTTCTTCCTGCTCTGCTTTGCTTCTCCTCCTGCTCTGCTTTGCTTTTCCTCCTGCGCTGCTTTGCTTTGCTTTGCTTTGCTTTGCTTTACTGGTGCAACCGCCTGCCATCTGGACTCGATCGCGTCCTGCTTTAGACTCTTCTGATTAATTCAAATGACAATCAGCCTACTTCCAGTTCAACCAAACAACCGCATTTCTCCCTCTCCTTCGACCTTCTCCCCCCCCCAGGTGGTGGCTAGAGCTCTTTTCCGAGCACATGTGGAGGGGCAGCTCAAGGTACGGGGAGTGAATTGGCATGAGGGGGTGGGTGCAGGGGGGAGGTTGGGAGTGGAAGGTATGGTGCGCAGTACCCCCTCAGGTGGTGGCTAGAGCTCTTTTCCGAGCACATGTGGAGGGGCAGCTCAAGGTACGGGGAGTGAATTGGCATGAGGGGGTGGGTGCAGGGGGAAGGTTGGGAGTGGAAGGTATGGTGCGCAGTGCCCCCTCAGGTGGTGGCTAGAGCTCTCTTCCGAGCACATGTGGAGGGGCAGCTCAAGGTACGCAAAAGTCAACTTTGAGTCGAATTCAAAAGTCAAAAGTCAAGATTGAGTCGAATCGAAATATCAAAATTTGAGTTGACTCAAAAGCCACCTTCCTCAAGAGCCATGAGCAATGAGGCCTACCTACCTACCTTCCTCAAGAGCCATGAGCAATGAGGCCTACCTACCTACCTTCCTCAAGAGCCATGAGCCAACTCATTGCCTCGAGCCAGCTTCGTGACTTTTGTGTTGACTCAAAATTCACCTCAGTCTTTGAGGTGACTCAAAAGCCACCTTTCTCAAGAGCCATGAGCCAACTCATTGCCTCGAGCCAGCTTCGTGACTTTTGAGTGGACTCAAAAGCCAACTCGCGTGCTCTCCATCGCGTGGAGGGCAGAGGGCGGACCCTCAAACTTTGAGTTGACTCTGCCTTTGAGTTGGACCCGGAGCCATGAGTTGACCTCAGTCTTTGAGTTGACTCAAAAGCCACCTTTCTCAAGAGCCATGAGCCAACAACTCATTGCCTCGAGCCAGCTTCGTGCAGCTGGACCCGGAGCTGCCCCTGGCTCTGCTGGACCAGAACCACGCCTGAACCCATCTGAACCCATCTGAACCCATCTGAACCCATCTGAACCCATCTGAACCCATCTGAACCCATCTGAACCCATCTGGACCCACCTCTCCCACAGGCGGAGATCATCAACTCACCAGAGAAGTTTGTGTAGCTGGACGCGGAACCTCCCCTGGCTCTCTTGGACCAGAAGCTGGTGGGGAAGCGGGTGCTGCTGATCACCAACTCGCATGCCTGCTTCCTTCTCACCATGTCTCTCACCCGTCCATCTCCCCCATCCCCCACAGGCGGAGATAATCAACTCACTGGAGAAGTTTGTGGAGCTAGATCCGGAGCTTCCCCTGGCTCTCTTGGACCAGAAGCTAGCAGGGAAGCGGCTGCTGCTGATCACCAACTCGGAACTCCCATGCCTCCTCTCCCCCCTGTCCATTCTCCCTCTCACCCCTGTCCATCCATCCTCCTTTCCCCCTCAGGCGGAGATCATCAACTCGCCGGAGAAGTTTGTGGAGCTAGATCCAGAGCTTCCCCTTGCTCTGCTGGACCAGAAGCTGGCGGGGAAGAGGCTGCTGCTGATCACCAACTCGGACTATCAGTACACCCACCGCATGATGACCCATGCTTTCGACCAGTTTTTGCCGGAAGAAATGACCTGGCGGTCATTGTTTGACATGGTAAGTTCTCCCCTTACAAAAGAATATCATTGGGTAAAGTAAAGCTGTTGTTGCTGTTCACTTGCTGCTGAAGCGGCTGCTGCTGATCACCAACTCGGACTATCAGTACACCCACCGCATGATGACCCATGCCTTCGGCCGCTTTCTACCGGAAGAAATGACCTGGCGGTCTCTCTTTGACATGGTAAATACTAAATTCTCCTTCAAACAAGCATGTTGCTTCTAGAATTAAGCTGCTGCTGCTGATCACCAACTCGGACTATCAGTACACCCACCGCATGATGACCCACGCGTTCGACCGGTTCGTACCTGAGGAAATGACCTGGCGATCGCTCCTTGACATGGAAATTACTCAATCTCCCTTCATAGCTGCTTGCTGTTGAAGCGGCTGCTGCTGATGACCGACCAACTCTCGGACTATCAGTACACCCTCTGCATGATGACACGCGCGTTCTTCTCCATGCCTCACCCGCTGTACGAGATAGCAACAGCAGACGACCTCACGCAACTATGTGTCCGTCTCTCCCTCTCTGCCTTCCGCCCATCATCCCCACCTCCAGGTGATAGTGTCGGCTCGCAAGCCCGAGTTCTTCTCCATGGCTCACCTGACACCCGCTGTACGGGATAGCAACACCAGACAATCACTGACCCTCCTACTGTCAACAGCTCACGTCCATCCCGCATTCTCCCCCATCATCCCCCCCCCACCCCTCCCAGGTGATAGTATCGGCTCGCAAGCCCGAGTTCTTCTCTATGGCTCACCCGCTGTACGAGATAGTGACCCCTGATGGGCTCATGCGACCATGCTTCAAAGCAAACTCTGGTATGGGCTTTAGAGTGAACTTGCGGTGTGTGTTTGTGTTTTAGGCGCCTCAAAAAGAAACGCCGGTATGTGTTTTAGAGTGAACTTGCGGTGTGGTGTGACCACATCCACACAGACCCCCTCGTTCACTCTCCTTCTTCCCTTTTTCATTCCCCTCTCTCTTTCCCCGTATTCATTCCCCTCGTTGATTCCCCAAATCCCAGGAGGGCTGTATTGTGGAGGCAGCGCTCAGATGGTTGAGAAAGCCTTGGGCTTTGCAGGGGACGAGACACTGTACGTGGGCGACCACATCTACACGGATGTGTCGCAGTCCAAGCTGCACCTGCGCTGGCGCACCTGCCTCGTGTGCCGGGAGCTCGAACAAGAGGTGTGTGCGAGGGAAGGCTGTTTGTGAATGACTGTGCACGGACGTGTTTCAGTCCAAGCTGCACCTGCGCTGGCGCACGTGCCTCGTGTGCCGCGAGCTCGAACAAGAGGTGTGTGTGTCTTCGAGGTTCACAGGCTTCACAGGGGCTAGCAGGGATTAACAGGGGTCCACAGGGGTTCATAGGGGGAGACGAGACAGACACTGTACGTGGGCGACCACATCTACACGGACGTGTCTCAATCCAAGCTGCACCTGCGCTGGCGCACGTGCCTTGTGTGCCGTGAGCTGGAGCAAGAGGTGCGAGCGAGCAATATGGGGGAGTGATGTGTGTATGTGTATGTGTGTTGGTGCATGCTGCAGTCCAAGCTGCATCTGCAATGGCGCGAGGGACCACTCTTGTGCCTTGTGTGCCGCGGGCCGGAACAAGAGGTGCGAGCGAGGGAGTATGTGGGAGTGAATGTGTCCTTGATAGAGCAGTGGTTATGCTCACTCAGTTGGAATGGCTCGGGGGTTCACAGGGGTTCACAGGCCATGACATGAGGCTCAGACTGATCGATCTGATGGCTCAGAAGGACTGCGTGGGGGACTGCTTCAACCAGCTGAGGCTGGCCCTGCAGTGACTGGTGGTGGGGATGGCAACTGAACTCGGGCCCATACTCCCCTCTCTGAGTGTGCTCTTTCCCAGGTGGAGGCCCTGATTCAAGGGCATGACACCAGGCTCAGGCTGGTGGATCTGATGGCTCAGAAGGACCGCGTGGGTGACTGCTTCAACCAGCTGAGGCTCGCCCTGCAGAGCCTCGCCTGTTAGCAGCACTTGAGCTCATACCAACCCATCCCTTTTCTTTGCCCACATCCACAGGTTGAGGCCCTGATTCAAGGCCATGATACCAGGCTGAGACTCATAGATCTGATGGCTCAGAAGGACCGCGTGGGTGACTTCTTCAACCAGCTGAGACTCGCCCTGCAGTGACTCTTGGGAGATGGCACTTCAGCCCTTACCCTCTCATCCTCTCTTCCCTTCTCTTGTGTTCTTCCCCATTGGAAGCTCTGATTTAAGGGCACGACACGAGGCTGAGACTGATCGATCTGATGGCCCAGAAGGACCGCGTGGGGGACTGCTTCAACCAGCTGAGACTCGCCCTGCAGAGGCTGTTAGTCAATGGCACTTGATCTCATACCAACCCATCCCTTTTCTTTGCCACTTTCCCAGGTTGAAGCCCTGATTCATGGTCATGATACGAGGCTGAGACTCATAGATCTGATGGCTCAGAAGGACCGCGTGGGTGACTGCTTCAACCAGCTGAGACTCGCCCTGCAGAGGCTCTTGGGGGGTAACAACTAAAACTTTTACCCTCTCATCCCTTCTCTCGGAGTCTTTCCCAGGTGGAGGCCCTAATCCACGGCCATGACACGAGGCTAAGACTCATAGATCTGATGGCTCAGAAGGACCGCGTGGGTGACTGCTTCAACCAGCTGAGGCTGGCCCTGCAGCGGCGTACACAGGGGCAGGCGGCGCAGACGGCAGCGGTGGGGGAGATGGAGGATGGGGAGCTGGTGAGGAGCATGCAGCGACTGCTGTGGATCATGGCGAGGCTTGATGGGGAGATTGCTCCCTTGCTTGAGACGGATGGGGCTGCTTTCAACGACAGGTGAGTGTGTTCTGCTGGGTTCAGTGCGGTGTAGAGGTGTATTAGGGGTTTACCCCCACCTGCTATGGTGAGGAGCATGCAGCGGCTGCTGTGGATCATGGCGAGGCTCGACGGGGAGATTGCTCCCTTGCTTGAGACGGACGGGGCTGCCTTTAATGATAGGTGGGTGTGCTGCTGGGCTTTGTGCTTCCGGGTAATTAATTTTGCTGTACTGATTTCAGAAGTGCAATCTCATCTCCCTCAGGCTGCTGTTTGATATTTTTGTCGCATAACACAAAACGTGTTTATATTGTCTTCATGTGTCTCTCTTCCATTTTGTACATCCCCTTTGTGAATGGCTCTTTTTCTGTCTACTGCTTTCATTTGTGTGGCCAGATGGGGATACCTCTCTCGGGCTGGTCTTTGGGATAAGAGCCACATTACCCGCCAAATAGAGAAGTGAGTTGGTAGATTACCCTGCAAGATACTGACAAAGCATCACTACTGTACTGTTTCTGTAAGAGACTGCAATATATTCATGCTGCTTTCTATTTTCTTCCTGCTTCTATGCTCCCTAATTACTTATGCCTTATCCTACCATTAGATATGCTGACATCTACACCTCAAGGGTTTCCAACTTCTTGCGGTACACCCCGTTCATGTACTTCCGAGCACAAGGGCAGGTATGGAGTTGACCCCTAATTGAATGACATTGCTTGCATCCTAGTCCTCTTTGTTCTCTTACTTTACCATCACGTCTCCTGTTTTCCATCCCTCGCATTGGCTTCTCATCACCTTGGTGAATGATTTTTCATTTACTAATAAATGTGTTTCTCTGGTTTCTGTTTGTTTGATTGTTGCAGTCCTGTGCACATGACGTTTCAGACACATGGCCTATCGCCAGTCTGCAGCCGTTCTCATCTCCCGAAGATGATTTGCAATAACACAAACAGAATTGCTGTAACGTGAAGATTGATGTTGGGGTGGTGGTGGTGGTGGTGTACAATGGTGTTAAGAGTAGAAGAGCGGAATTGTTGTGACTAGGAGGAGATGGGTACAAGTATGCAAATCTAGACAGTGTTGTACCCTATATGATGCAAGGCTGGGTTCCAGAAAGCGCGGAAAGCTACCGAAGAGATCTAGGTTGATATTGACAGCGGTGTACTCCACGCCATCATGAATTGAACCATATTATAATTTTGTCAACAAATCAATAATTAGTGCTGAAAAAACATATCTACATGCTGGTGGGGTCTGCACGCGCATCAGTAGTCCGTGCTGGGCCCCCACTCCGTCATTCCTGGCAAAAGGTGTTGTGTACGCGGTGGTTCAGTGTACGCGGTGGAAAACGATGAAGTGCGGTTTAAAGCGTTTTGCTTGTTTCGTAGCTTTGAACCGCAACTTTCGATCTTCGCGACAAGTCAGAGGAAATCGCAGGCTGCTGCACTTACTAGGGTTCAGAACTCACAACTTCAATGTTCGTAAAATAGCGTTCTCATGTAGTTGCTGCTTGTGATTTTATAGTAAAGACGTTGTCCAGTGGGATTCATCGCAATGACGCCGTCGTCTGCATCCCTCCCATTACACCATGATGGCGTACCGCATCCCCCGAAGCAGCAGCAGCAGAACCAGCAGCAATGGTCTATGCTCACCCAGCTGTTAGAATAAGCAGGAATGAATGGTGGACTAGGTAGCATGCATGAGTACAAGTACCTAACCCTAAAGTGTTGTACCCCTTGTAGGCTAACCCACTATAGCCTAGAGAGAACACAAACATACAGTTTGACACACCCCCATAGGCTAAGTGGGAGATAGCAAACACAACAGACGGTCACAAGACCAGTCAAGCAAGAGAACAAGCAAAGCAAAGCAAAGCGCAGGGTGGATCTCAAGGACACCACACAATCTGAGCACAAGCAAGCGGCCACAAGGCCAGTTCACATGCAGAGTTATAATAGCAAGGCAGTACACTGATCACAACCTAGCAAGAGTAAACAAGCAGGTATAAAGATATATATCAGTGTACAACAAGAGCAAGTCAAGCAACCAGCAGGTGAGGCAGAGTAGGCACAAGCCCAAGAGCAGTGCAAAAACGGTGATGATCACCAGACCCAAGGGCCTTGGTGAAAACATCAGCAGTGTTGGCCCGAGAGGCCACGTAAACAAGGCGCAGCTGACGACGCTGCTGCAACTCACGCGCAAGGAAGTAGCGAAGAGCAATGTGCTTCGTTCTGTGCTCCAGTCTCTGCTCGCGACACAAGGCAAGCATTGCCTTATTGTCGACGTACAGAACTGGAGGAGAACGAGGCCGCTCCCCCAAGTCGGTCAGCAGGTAGGTCAGCCAGCGTAGCTCCTGTGCAGCCATGGCCCCAGCGTAGATCTCGGCCTCACAGCTGGAACCAAGCACAGAAGAAGAACGAGTGGACCTCCACGAGACAGAACCAAAGCCAAGACTGAAGGTGTAACCCTGTGACGTACGCTGAGTCGCCTGGTCGTCGGCCCAAGAAGCGTCAGAGTGTCCTGTGAGGACCACCGAACCCCGTCCTCCAAGCACGAGCCCCATGCCCGATGTGCTGCACAAGTAACGCAGTACCCTCTTCGCAGCATCAAAGTGCACCTTTCGGTGTCTACCGGGTGCCACGTAGCGAGCCAGAAGGCTGAGAGGGTACGCGAGGTCAGGTCGTGTGCACGTCATCAGGTACATGAGGCAACCCACAAGCTCTGGGTACGGACCACTCGGCTCTACGGACTCGTCCGAAGGTGGAGCTGAGAGCGAGTGGCTGGTGGCCAGACGAGTGGGCTGTGGCGAGGAGTACGTGAAGCGGAAGCGCTGAAGGACCTGGTGCACCATGTGTGACTGAGTGAGGGTGATGATGCGCCGTGGTCTGTCCCGGGTGATCTGCAAGCCAAGATAGCTTCGCAGCTCACCCAGGTCAGTGCAGGTGTGTCTCTCCTGCAGCTCCGCCTTCACTAGGGCCAGTGCCTCAGTGTCAGCAGTAGCAAGAACCAAGTCGTCGACGTACACGAGGATGTAGAACGGCGGCAGAGTAGTGTCGGTGCGTAGAAACAGCGACGGGTCAGCAGTCCAAGGAGCAAACCCAAGAGCCGCAAGTGTCGTCCTCAGTGTGTCGTGCCACTCGCGGGGCGCCTGACGCAGGCCGTACAGTGGTCGCCGTAGGCTCCACTGGGTACCCTCAGGAAACGACCCAGTGAAGCCCTGTGGACGGCGCAACCAGATGGCCTCGTGAAGGCTACCCTGCAAGAAAGCTGTCGAGAAGTCAAGGGAGTGCAGCTCGTAGTCACGCTGAGCTGCAACGTGTAGCAACACCCGAAGAGTGGTCATCTTCGGGGTGGGGGAGAAGGTCTGAAAGAATTCGACCCCCTCACGTTGATTGAAGCCTCGAGCAACGTAACGTGCCTTGAAGGCAGGCGGAGAACCCGGCGGCCGCTTCACCCTGAAAATCCACATGCCACTGACGATGTTCGCCCCAGGTGGGGGAACCTCGTCGACGTAGGTGCCTGTGGACTTCCAGGAAGCCATCTCTGCGTCCATGGCTGTCCGCCACTGAGAGGAGTACTCACCCGAAATCGCCTCCCTGTAGGAGCGCGGGGTGGGGATGTCAAGTGCATCCGGGTCTCCCTCAGGGGCAAGCAGCATGGTCGTGTGATGGGGTGAAGCGGCAGCAAGGCACTCCAGCTCCTCCTGTCTGTCCTCAAAACGTCACAGCCAAGGGCAGTACAGCCAAGAGCAGTCTCACCCCCGACGGACGGAGGACAGGCAGGGACAGGGTCAGAGACAAGACTCGCAAGGTAGTCGAGGCGGTACACAGCAGCAAAGTCAACGAGCTCGGCTACTAGGGTAGACACAGCAGGAGACGAGAACGTAGGGTCCGTCACAACCGTAGCAAGAAGGCGAGTAACAGTCGGACTGGACGCACGAGCAAGGTCAGACGGAGGGTCAGCAACGTTAGGCAGAGAGGACGCAGGAGGTAACAGTAGTACAACACGCCGAGGAACAGAGGAAGGACGGAGTGTCATATCGTGAGTGCCGGGGACAGCCGGAGCACGCGGACGACGAACACGAGGAACACGAGCACGGACAGCAGCTCTAGGCTCAGGCTCAAGGTCAAAGCTAGACTCAGGCTCTCGACGCTCAGGGGTGGAAGCACGAGTCTCAGGCTCTCGACGCTCAGTCAGGGACTCTGACACCGCAGTGTAAGGAGCAGGAGCAGGCACTGGGGAGTGTGGTAGCAGCGGTGGCTGTGACTGGTCCGCCGGTGGACACAGCAACGGAGGAGTAGTACCTGCCACAAGGAAGCCAGTAGCACCTGGCGGAAGACTGAGAAGGTGGCGAAGAGCACCAGTAGCTCCCGTACCTCCAGCACGAGCAGCTCCTCCAGTACCCCCAGCAACACCTCCAGCACCAGTAGCACCAACACCTCCAGCACCACGAGCTCCGACAGCGCCAGCACCTCGAGCACCAGTAGTACCTCCAGCACCTCCAGTGCCTCCAGCTCCAGCTCCAGCGCCTCCAGCACCAGTAGTACCTCCAGTACCTCCCGTGCCAGCAGCTCCAGTAGCACCTCCAGCACCTCCAGCACCAGCAGCACCACCTGCTCCAGTAGCTCCAGCACCTCCAGTACCTCCAGCACCAGCACCTCCAGGGTCAGCACCTCCAGCACCAGCAGTAGCTCCAGTACCCCCAGCACCAGCAGCACCTCCAGCACCAGCAGTACCTCTAGTACCTCCAGTAGTACTTCCAGCACCTCCAGCACCAGCAGCACCTCCTGGACTAGTAGCTCCAGCACCAGCCAGACCGTACCCTCCACCACCAGGATTGCCTCGCCGAACGACCCACGCACGAATCGCCTGCGGCGAGAGCGTCTCAAGTAGAGCAGGCTGCGGTAGCTGTCCAACTCCAGTACCTCCTGTACTGGTAGCTCTAGCACCTCCAGCACCAGAAGCACCTCTAGTACCCCCAGCTCCAGCACCTCCAGCACCAGTAGCAGCTCCAGTACCTCCAGTAGTACCTCCAGGCCTAGTAGCTCCAGTACCTCCAGCTCCAGTACCTCCAGAAGGACTCGCAACACCCCCAGAGTCAGCACCCGAAGTCTCAGCACCCCCAGGCTCAGTACCCTCAGGCTCGGTACCCGAATTCCCAGCACCCACAGGCTCAGTGCCCTCAGTCCCAGCACCCGCAGGCTCAGTACTCTCAGTCCCAGCACCCGCAGGCTCAGTACTCTCAGTCCCAGCACCCGCAGGCTCAGTACGCTCAGTCCGAGCACCCGCAGGCTCAGGATCCTCAGTCTCAGCTCCAGTGTCCACTACAGAAGGCTGCAGAGGCGGGAAACCGAGGGGGGTAGCCAAACGAGGAGAGCAGTCACCCCCAGACGTACCACTCCCAGGCCCAACTCCAGCAGCCTCAGCTCCAGAGTCCACAGCAGCAGGCTGCGGAGGTGGCGAAGACGGCCGAGGCGGGAAACCCGGGGGGGTCTCCAAGCGAGGAGTGTGGCGAGTGGTCGCCGTGTCGTTGGCGACGGTGTCACCCCCCTCAGCTGAGTCAGAGGAGTCAGAAGAGATCTCAACTGGCTCATCCAAGGGGGGTGGGCCTACCTGGGACACACCTAAGGGAGCAGGACCCTGTGGGGGAAGGGGTTCTACCGGGGGGGGGGACTGGTACCAG